ACATTCATGCACAAACAAATAGATATACTATATACCTGCCTACACAGACGCACTGCGATAAATGTCAGTGAAAAGTGGTGGCTACCTCTGTAATAATAGAAGACTACACAGAGGCAACATTGTTTGAAGCGGATAAAGAAATTTAGTGTGTCCCGGGATGCCTGGTTTCAATTTTCTAAGTCAGTTGTTGAAATAACAGTTTGGAGACCTCCCCGATGAATTTTCTGCTAGTTTCTTTTTTTATATTTCTCTGAAAAGGAAAGGTGTGTACAATATATGTAATGTAGATATACTGGATGATTCTTGTTTATGTGTGTGCATGCTGCAGTTGTAATGTTTTTATTGAGTTAAAACAGTCATGTAGATGGTAACAGTTTTTCTTCCTGTTGGCCCTCAGCTGTTGCTGGAGGAGCAGAGTTTCTCCCTCCGCGAGGCTCAGAGGACACTTGGACAGCGGGTGCTTCGCTACCTGCTCAGGTTCATCCTCAACCTGCTTGTTCTATCTCTGCTGGGTGGAGCCTTCTACCTTATTTACTTCGCCATAACAAAATCAGAGACCAAGGTAAACCTTTGATGCAGAACATCTGGTTTTGTTACAGTATGTCCTGCATTTGTTGAATAGACTGTCACATTTGACACCCCCTGTGTTTCTTAGAGTGAGCACTGGTTGGGCAGTCTGATCCTGGAGTACCTCCCTGCCATCACCATCACCTTTGTCAACCTGTTCCTCCCTCACATCTTCCGCAAGATCTCATCTTTTGAAGACTACTCTTTCACCACGCAGGTTAATGCCACGCTTGTGAGGTAAGGTGCACAGAGAGATAACACACAGGATAACCTAATTTACATGCACACATACATAAGCACACATGCGCATGGATTCACTCTGTCCTTTCTTCAGGAGCATCTTCTTGAAACTGGCCTCACTGGGGATTTACTTATTCTTCGTCTTCATAAAACAACATAAGCAAGTGAGACTGAGATTTATGTTTCAGAAGAAATTCAATGTGTCTTTCATTCAGACTTTCAGGACTAATGTGTGATGTCTGGTTGATCTTTTGGATTTTTTTAACCCCCACATTTGTGTGTTTTCCTATCTTTCCCAGTGCTGGGAGAACATATTTGGTAGAGAGATGTACAAGCTGTGCATCTTCAACTTCCTCGCCACTTTCTGCAACGCCTTTCTCTTGAACTACCCCAGGAAGTGGGTTTGCTTGAGATAAACAGTTTCTTTCTTTCTTAGTCATCATTATGGTTTAAATGTAATGATCAATGCGTTTGATGTCTTTCTTGAGTAGATTCCACAACAGTTTGGCTAATCTATGGAAATACTAACGCTCACTAATGCTACCTAGTCAAGATTCATCAGCTTACTGTGCAAACTGTCTTTCCTCTATGTGACAGGCTGCTGCAGGAGAAGTACCCTTCATCCTTGCTGGCCCGGCTGTCGGGGAAGCAGCGCTTTCTGATCCATTTCAATGTTTTGGATCTGGTGCACAGTCAGACAGTGTCCTGGGTGGGAGTCTACTACTGCCCTCTGCTGCCTCTGATAGGAACTGTAACACTGATGGCCACGTTCTACATCAAAAAGGTTGTCTGGAACATGAGAGTTATGGATCATCAATAACACATAAGCTGGTCAACTATCTTTTTCTATCTTTGCATCTCTTAATGTTTAAATACAGTTCAACATACTGTGCTGGCATCACATTAAGAACAAACCGAAAAAGATTTAATCTAACAATAAACTAAATAGCTGCCATGTTGCACACACACAGAGTACAGAGGTTTGAGCCCAAATACAGACACTGGCGTGATGAAAGTTTCGCAAGTCTTTATTTAACAAACGGCTGACACTAACATGTGAAGGAAGTTTTCAGCCTGAAATCAAAAACACAGTAGTCCACTATGAGAAGAGGTGAGTAATAGCAGAGAATTTCAAAAGCATAATCCACACATTTTAAAGGAATGGTTTGAATGGTAGAAACATCAAGCCTGGCTCTGTCCAAAGGTAACTAAATCTACGTCCGAGCACCTCTAAAGAACCAATTAACATATATTTGTTTAATCTGTGCAAAAAGTGTAAAAATGTCAATTCGTGGTTTTATGGTCATGTGCGGCACGATTGCTATGGTAGGTGCAGGGACTTCATTAAGTTACCGTGTCCGTAAAAGAAATAGTAAAACATAAAGTTGTTTGTACACTTTGGTTTTTGATAATTGGACAGAGCCAGGTTAGCTGTTTAAATCTGTTTCCAGTCATTCTGCTGATCTAAGCTAACTGTCTCCTGGAGCTTTACATTTAACGTCCAGAAATGAGAGCAGTATCAATATTCCCATCTAAATCTCAGCGAGAATACAATTAAACAAATTTCCCAAAATGGTCCTTTAAGTTAACGAGTAACTTTCTTTGTATCTGTCCTGAAAGGGTTTGCGGGTTAAATAGCTCAATGGAACAGTTTTTTTCTCCTTGTTTAACTCTTTGAACTGCTCTGTGGTACATGGTTTTGTAGTGACAGATGCACAGACTTGTGACCAAGAAGCACTAGTGACCATGCGTATTTGAACATTTTCCAACAATGCCCGTGTCTCTTTGTCTTCAGTTCGGGGTCCTGCGTTGCTGTGTGGCAGAGCAGAGGATGTTTCGAGCCTCCAGCTCCTCCGTTTTATTCCACTTCATGTTGCTGCTCGGCCTCCTCATGGCTGTAGCCACACTGGGCTTCACTTTCTACCAGCAAAACCAAGACGCAGTGAACACAAACATGTACTCTTTTTACTGTAACTTTGACTGTAATTATGTAATGTTGAACACACTGTCTACATGTTCATTTTCAATTCACCCTATTTATTTATTTAGTGGTTTAAATGTTAATATAAAACATATCTGGCCTTTTAGCAGTAGAAGTAAAGATAACATTTATATTTTACTTTTATCTGCTGCTCATTTCTCTCATTTCTTCCAACTGCCCCCCCCCCCCAGGATCTCCTGTGGTCCATTTGGAAACGGAGAAACTGTGTTAAATGTGACAGGAGTGTGTGTGGACAGTCTCCCGAGGCCGGTACAGACCACTCTCCACTACCTGTCCTCTGAGGCCTTCGCTCTGCCGCTCATACTAGCTGAGATGTGAGTATGCAAAGAGACAACAGGCATTTGCAAACACTGGCTCTGTATTTCCAGTTGGAAGTAAAACAAACCTACTTTAAGAGTGTTTTAACCTTTGGGTGAGAGAACTAGAAGCACCATGTGTACAGCTGCATGCATGTTGTTCAAAAGTAATGAACATTACAAACTGTTTTAAAAATACACGTGCAGCACTTTCATCTGTTCTGCTGGTCTTTCAATGTGAAAAATTATATCCCACCAAAGCTGGAGGTAAAAATAAAATGCCTTAAAACTGTGAGAGAAGAAATTCTTTGTATTAATATTTCTAGGGGTTTTACTAGAACAAGGAACACATTCTGTTTCCTCAGTATCATCTTAACCTCCTACGTGTCACGAAAAGGAGCCAATCAGAAGGCCATTGAGAGACTGAAAGACATGCTGGTTATGGTAAGTCACATGTCATCAAGGAACATTCACAGAATAAAGTTATGTAGATATTGGTAGATATATAGGAAATGTCCGAGTTACAGCCAGTTGATTTAGTTGGTGTAAATTAATCATTCCTGCTGGGGTCTGATAGTGTGTTGTGCTTTTCTACTGTGTCTGGGTGCGTGTTGTGGCTATAAATGTATGTGTTTTCCTTACAGAGCAGCTCAGATAAGCGTTTCCTGGTGAAGCAACATGCCACAATGCTCAGACAAAAGAGAAACACCAATAGAGTCCGTTCTGCGGCCATTTAAGCCATACTAACTGATTAAAGGCCCGAGCTGTCTGTCAGGCCTGTCCATTCACAGACTTCCACTGAAAAATAAAGCCTTGCTTTGGCCAACCACAGCTGGGTGGAGGCCCGGGGGTGGCTAAAAATAAAAAAGTTGAAGGACTGATGAGCTTTTCCACATGATATACAAAGATAAGAAAAAGTTACCTTTTTCTGCAAATGTATTTAACCTTCATATAATGCATTATCTTAATCTTAGTCACTTCTGCAGTCATTTTCTATAGTATTGACATTTTGTGATGATTGGTTTATGGTCCTTTTGAGTTTGTTAAGCTTAATATATAGTTGAAACGTTTGTGTTCTCACTTATTTGTATTTTTAACTGCAAGTCAACTTTATTTTATTTTAACTATATATATATATTAATAGCAAGGTCACAATTCTTATGTTCATGTTTTTATTTCACACCTGCTTTGGCAATGTAAACATCTGTTTCCCATGCCAATAAAGCCCCACTGAATTTAACTTTTTACTTTTTCTAAAATGTTATCTACTTGTAACACATGTGCAACACCCTCAGCTTTTACGCACACACATGGATCCACACATACACAGAAACACACTGAACCCAGCCATAGAAACCATGTCAAAGATAAATGCAGAGCACTGTAATGAAGAATCTACAGACTCTAAATTTGTTGCCAACTTTGGGTGAGTTAATAGAAGTTTAAATTAAAAATGGTGACATGAATAAATAATTTAATGGACTTATATCCTTACTGAAATGTTTTGTTGACTTTTGTTTCAGCTCTGGCAAGTTTGTTCATCAAGATAAGTAAGTTTGTTAAAGTGGTGCTTAGCTTATGGAGCTCAGTTTGCTGAGAAATTTTTTGTTTGTCGTTTTCAGAACCTTTCAGATATTTACTGCATTGTAAAGTGTCAGGGGAAGACTGCTATTGATATTCTTTGATCTCACGACATGAAATAATGTGGTGGCTGCATCTGCTCATAATCTCTTTAAAACATGTCTTTCTTCAGGCGAATCAATCTCTCTTCGCCCAGTGCTGACTGGCCCTGACATGGCCTACCTCGGCTCAAGGGTGGCTTTCCGGTGTATTGCGCCGGACTCCTCTCCGCCAAACGCCTACGAGCTGATGAGGGATGGTGGTGTCCGGGTTGCCACAGACACTGTCCTTCAAGGGGACCAACCTGCATTATTCTTCCTTAAGATCGCTGCAACATCAGAGGGGTCATACCACTGCAAGGCGACTGCAGGAAGAACCACAGGAGTCAGCAACAGCATCAAGCTGAGTGTAATCAGTAAGTAAAAGACACACTATTACAGTCTTTTGAGTCCCTGTTATTTTACTGTAGACAATCATTCCCAAACTTGACCTCTTCCTCCCTCACCCTTATATCATTATCTAACTTCTAGTTCCACCAGCAATAACCAGAGTGACTTCTGAACCCTCTCCCCCAGTCACATACGAGGGGTCACACATTGTACTGAGCTGCAACGTTACAAAGGGCTCCCACCTTTCCTACACCTGGTTTTTCAATAGGAAGGAAGTCACATCTTCAACATCTCCCTTCTTCCACATCACTGAGAACAAGCTAGTGATTGAGGAGTTGACTCCAGAGCTTGCTGGGAACTATTATTGCATGGCTTGGTCCAGGGTGCAGGACATCAGGAGGTTTTCCAGCAGCTCAGAGGTCCAGGTGACTGTCAAAGGTATGCGTCTTGCTCAAGGACATATTGGCAGAGATATTGTTACAGTGGGAATTGAACTCTGGTCTCTCACACCAAAGGCATGTGTTTTATCCTTATCCTATGCGCCATAAGATAAGAAAACCTTTATTTGTCCCACAGTGGGGAAATTGCGGTTTGCAACTGCAAAGACAAGAGCAGAGATAGATAAGTGTACAAAGTAGCATAAACATAAACATGACATAAAGTGTCAGACAATAAAGTAGCGTTCAGTAAATAAAAACAAAGTTACTGTACATTAAATAAGACTTTTAATACATCCTCAGTTGGACTCTATGTTTGGTGCTAATTACCAAATGTTAGCATGCTAACACGCTAAATTGTTGAGATTTTACCTGCTAAACATTAGCATGTCACCACTTAGCTCAAAACACAGCTGCGTCTAAGTACAGCCGCATCCAGCTGCTATCATGGCTGTTAGCTCTTAGCATTGTGGTTTAGGTGGAAACAAAATCATAATAACATAAATTGAAACATTTTAAAATTAAAGAGTTTCATCCAACAACGACAAGATGACTAAATGGAGCCTTTAGACCCAAGAGGTTACATCAAACCTTTTTGAAAATCCACTCTATGGCCAAAATTATGTGGACACTCATGGCGTGTTAAAATGCTGCTGCACTTTTCTGGGAGGGATTTTGGCAAGATTTTCAGTGCTGATGTTGGGCCAGTCACCACACCAAACTGAGAAAAGCATTTCTTTATGGGCCTGGCTTTGTGCTCTGGGGTATGGTCACGTTGAAGCAGGAAAGGGCCATACCCACAATGTTGCTGCAAAGTTGGAAGCACACTATAGTGTGAAATATGATTGTATACAGTAGCATTAAGAGTTATCTTAAGTGGAAGTAAGGGGACTAAAAACAGCCCCAGACCAAATGCACACAATCATCGTGCACATACCTTTGGCCATACCCATACCCTGATTCATGTACCTGCCTGATGTGCCTGTGCCTGACATGTTCCTGTCCCCATCTTCTCTCCTATTCATTCCTTCACCAGTCTATGTTTCAAAACCAAGGATCTCTTTCTGCATCTCCAAAGAGGGAGCCAGTTACATTGGCAACGTGACCTGCTGGTCAACAAGAGGGAGTCCTCCAGTCAACTTCTCTCTTTCAATAGATGACAAGGAAGTGGGATCTGTCTCAGCAACTGAATCCCTCGCTGTCTGGTTCCCTGTCGCAATGGTACCCGGGCTGGACATGGGTGTGGCTCGATGTCGGGTGAATACTGAGGTGCAGGACTTGATGAGTGAGCCTGTGGCTCTAGAAGTGGGTATGAGCTACACTGACAAGTTCAAGGAAATTTGTCTTTCTGTTATTGTCTATCTCTTCATAACCTTTCTCTCCTTGTCTTCCCTCCTCTTCATCCAGTCCCTGTCGGAGGTGATGTGAAAGTGGAGGTGGAGTATCTCTACAGAGATGACTCCAAACTGGCGGTTGCCAGGCTGAACTGTCATGTCAGCAGAGGAACTTTCCCTTACATCTCCTGGCTCTTGAACAACTCTGTCTTCCCCTCTGAGACGCATGTAGACTCTCATATTCAGCCCGTCCTGTCTCACTGTGCTCTTGCTGACCATGGACGAACCCTTGTTCTGGCCAAGCTCGGCCCAGAGGAGTCTGGTTATTACAGCTGCAGGGTCAGGGACAGCTACGATGACTCAGGGCCCTGGGTGGAGAGTGCTTCCGTGCTAGTCCAAGTCACAGGTGAAAAGATCAAGACTAGGTGTCGAATAAAAATTATCTTAAAGTAATAGTGATAAGGGATATATGCCTATTTGTGTGCTTACAGAAAGTTGGATGCAATTAGATTGATACCACTCTTACCTCTGTACGTTATGAAGCAACTGCCAGCAGCCGATTAGCTTAGCTTAGCATAAAGAATAGAAACAGGGGGAAACAGCTAGCCTGCCTTTAAGTGTGAAAACAACAATTTTCCAGAGGATTACGTCCCTGACTACTTCTTGACCAGGAGCAAAAATTTCAGCTGATTGACCAGGAACCGCGCAGTGGCAACAAAACTCCTGGCCAGGGTTTTAATCCAGGCTAGCTGTCCTTTATGCTAAGCTATGCTAACCAGCTTCAGCTCCAGCTACATATTTACCATAAATATGTGAGTAGTATCTCTTGGTGTAATGTTTGGTTTAAAAAAGATAGGCATATTTATTAAAATGTTTAACTATTCCTTTAACAAATTTCTTTTGAATCCAGACTCATCTTAACATGTCACACGTGCCCTTGCTATTTGTGTGGGGTCTCTGCACCCTTTACCACATCACAATTATTACTCTTGATCAGACAACTCCACGCCTCAAGTAAAATCTTCCTGCGAAACACCATTAAGCACATATTTTACATTTAAATGCCTTATAGTCTGTAATACTTCACTGCCCTCATCCCTTCTCTTCCACAGAGGTCTTCATGACCACCATAGAGGCCATTAGTATAGGGTTCTGCTGCTTCCTTCTCGTGACGTTGGCAGTGGGTGTAGGCTGTGTGTACAAGATGTTGGACCACAAGCAAGGTGTGTGTCTCCCTGTTTTTGTTTGTATGTGTTTGTGTGTGTGAGGGAATAATTAATTGACTGGAACCGTTTATATAAAATGTTCTTCTGTCGCCACCTCCTATTTCTTTCACTGTTCACGTCCACATTTCTACAACAAAGTAAGCTTTTAAGTTTATGCATTGTTCTGTAACTCAACAACAATCTGTTCAACAGTGTGTGTGCCTTCCAGTCCCAGTTCTGATGCACATCGTCTGCCTGCACCCACGTCTCTGTCTAGAAGTAGACAGGGTAATACTCCCTCTTCAGACTATGATTTTCAGAATCAGGTATGCAGGCCTGCAGAACACAATGATTCTGAATCAGTCAAATATTACACACTATCCACATGTGCTTTACTTTACATGTCCCTTAATTTCTGAAATTTTCTTAGGAAGGTACTAATATGTAACTGTAAATTCATAGTAAGGTTCCTGGGAAATATTAGTAACTTGGTACTAATTACAGGAAAAGTGGACAGTGTTTAATTGGTACATTTTCAGTTGGTATTTTACATGTCTGCCTTTTCACAGTAATAAGGTAAATGTAAATGCTCCGTATTTGTATAGCGCCTTTCTAGTCTTTTTCGACCACTTAAAGCGCTTTTACACTACATCTGCATTCACCATTCACACACATTTATACACTGAGCCTAAGTGCTCAAACAGAAACTAACATTCACACAGGAGCCAGTGCTATGGCTTTATGTTTTATTGTTGTATATCAATTGCTGTGTGATTTAATGTGTTTTTTTTGTTTTTTTTTGTTTCTTTTAAGCCATTATGTGCCTAGTATAACATCTTGCCAATGGACTACAGTTGAAAATTAGCCTGCTGGCTAGCACTGGCACATTTACAGAAATGTTGATTAATGTGCACTGTCCTTAAATAAAATGAGAAATGAGAAATTCATACAATGGTGGAATAGCTACAATTCAGGGTTCAGTATCTTGTCCAAGGTATCTTGCCCAAGGACACTTCAACATGCATCTTGAGGGAGCCGGGATTGAACCACCGACTTTCCAGCCAACCCGCTCTATCTCCTGAGCCACAGCCGCCCCCTAAAATAAGCAATGATTTTGTTTTCTGGAAAGAAAATAGAAAGAGAAAATAGAACTGCTCGATTTAAACCAAATATTTATGAACTATTCACTGAAGACACATTTCATATTTTTGACATTTATGCATTTTCACTGGCCAAAAGACTCTCAAGGTTACACTAGCAATTAATTGTAATCAATCAATGAATGTAACATAAATAGAACCTTGTGTCTATTTTTGCTGTTATTGTACAAATTTAAGTAGTTTTCTAAATTCCCAATTATTTTCTACCATAACATAGAAAGATTTTAAGTCAGAAAACAGCAGGCCTCCATAACATGCAAAAAAATACATGATTTGTGAATATATTTTAGGCTTAGCAGTTCTCTCTAGAAAAGTACTCAGGAGATCCAATACTGCTTTTAAACACAAGTAATTCAAATAATTGCCCCTCTTTTCTGTATAACAGTAGTAAATTAAAATTTTCCTACCAGGACACAGAAATGATTAGGAAACTGCCGACATGTGAAATAAAGTGTTACCAATTGTTCTCCAGAAACCTTCTATCTTTTTAAAATGACATCAACTCTTTAAGAATGTAAAAAAAATATTCTTAAAATTAAGGATTACTTACCATCTGTGTCTGCTTAAATGAAGTGATTGTTTTGTTTATATATAAGAAACATTGTGAACCAGGTAAACAAGAAGACACCATAACTGTTCTTTCTCTCTCTCTGTTTTAGACTGCAGAGATCACAGTATGACACAGGAGGAACCTGCACTTCTTCATGCAAACTGTCATTATTTCATTTAAAATCTGCAACTATTTGTTGTTATTCTGCAGGCACGACAAGTGTGACTTTCCCTGAGCTGCCACGTTACTTGGACATTCAGTTAAGAAGAGTTAGAGATTATGTTTTTCAGCTAAACAACATTATACTGTCATGTTTGCAAATAAAAATTCAAATTTTAAATGATGTTTGATTGTTTTTTTAATTAAACAATGAAAAAAATTATTTTTGATTACACCTTTTCCTCTACCTTAAAATACATCTGACTTATGTTATTGAGATTCACATTTTTCAAAATGTAACATAACACCATTTAGTGAGTGTCTTCATCTTGTGAGGTTACAGAGAGGGAGGGTACAGCAGGGAGGTGAAGTATAACACTATCAGCAATTTGCACATGTTTCTAAGTGCGTGTGTATTTTTTTTTTTACCCAAAGTGCTTCAACTCTCAATTCAAAACTGTCAAAACTCCTGCATTATAGAGTTAAGCGTAATAATATTTCAAGTGTTCTTCACGCTTTCTTCAAGAATGTTTGCTTCCCTCTTTGTGGTCATACTGGGTAAGCTAATCAACACAATCCGCACCGCATAAAACTTTCACATTTTAAAACTCTTGTGAACTATTTGATTTCTTTTTCCTCTCTACAGGGTTGTGCTACTGTAGCAAGGAGAGCAGTAAGTCAGTTGTATTATGTGAGTGTGTGTTAGTGCATGTAGCTCATGATTCCTTCTGTTGAGTGTTTTTATTTTTTGATAGGTCAGTTCATTCTGGGGCGCCCACGACTGTTTGGCCCTTCGGAGGCTTTGGTGGGAGAAGTTCTGGATCTTCACTGTGAACTGGAGATCTACCCAAAGAATGAATCTATCCTGTTGCAGTTATTCAAGTGAGAATGTGTTTATATTACATCTAACTGCTGCAACGAAGCGTAAAAGTAATGACAGAAAATCCCTCTAACGGTCAACCATTCTAGGGAGGGTGTCCGTGACAAGTTGTTCGGCGAATACTCCTCCCTGAACGGGGTGGTTGCAAACTTCCCTTTGGTGATCAAACAATCCCTCGAAGGAAACCTGGAGTGTGTGGCCAAAGGGCAGAACAACTCTAACATGGAGCCCACTGTCAGCTACACACACTACCTGAGGGTTGTTGGTAAGTTTTTTTCATTACTAGCGATATATTGTATATAATGTGGTAGGTAGGTATTATAATATGTACATGTCTCCTTGTAACAGTAACATAGAGCATTCAGTGGCATGTATGGTTGTAAAAGCTCAACTCAATGACAAACATTTCTCAGTGGGGACGGTATTGTACAGTTGTCTGTGTAACAAAGAGTTTAATCTATCTCTCCTGAAAAACATCTAAGTTTAGCATTTTGAAATAATGACATGTACTAGCACTATAAACAAAGTACAGCTGAGGTTTATGGGAGTGTCAAAAATGTCAACCTCATGGAACTAGAGCTACTGTCAAGGGATCACCAAACTCAGACAGCTTCATCCTTTGGGGACCATGAATGTCTGTATAAAGTTTCATGACAGTCCATCCAGCAGTTGTTCAGGCTGGACAAAGTGCTGGACCGACAGACAGACTGAGGGACAGGACAATATTGCCATCCATGGAGCCACTCGCTGGAATGGCTTTTAAAAAACTGTAATATCATGTTAGGACATCATAACAAGGTTTCTTGGTAGGAAAACTAGATTAGATAGGCGTTGTTAAGCTAATGGAAATGATCACCTATAAATCCAATAGAGAAATGCAAACAAAAGAATTACACAACAGACCAATCAAACATGAAGATAATCCCTCTCCTTGTCTCTGAAATCAGTGGACCTTTAATGAAATGAGACCAGGATCTGAGGCTGTTGCTGTGTCTGTCCTGCAGAACCAGTGGCCGGTGCAGCAGTTATCGTCGATTCAGGTCCAGTGGAGTTCTTTGAGGGGAAGACTCTGAAGCTGAGCTGTAAACTTAAAGCTGGAAATTATGTCTCCTACAAGTGGCTGCTGAATGATAAGCTTCTCCCTCAGTCTCCTCTCCACTATGCTGCAGATCAGCATCTCTCCATCTACAGGTCAGTGGAATCCCATTGCTACTGCATTATGAGGTGGTTGCAGTGGTGGTTTGAGAAATTTAACAATTTACCTGATTATTGTTAATTACCTACTCAGTAATGTAGGTTGGTTGCTAAGTGGTTGGTGGGGTGTTGATAGGTGGTTGTACTTGCAATGGTGATTCTGGTGGTTGGTACTCTATGGATGATAGAGCATACTGTGTGTTTGTAATTTAAAAGTCAAGCAAATTAGGATAAAACTTTAGGAATGTTACAATTATTTAAGGTGCACTTCTACATTTTGGGAAAAATGCTTATTTGCTTATTTGTTAAGAGTTGAATGAAAATTTGATCTAAAATTAAAAGTTGCTGTTTAATGATGCTGGAAAGGGCAACCATGTGCATCTCTTAATTAAAAGGTAATTTCTATATTTTTAAACCCTTTTTTTCATATATTTTGGGATCGAAATGACTAGTAGGTACAAATTTCTTTGGAATCCATGCGGTAGATGGCGTCAGCTGGCAGCCATGAACTGGCTGCAGTGGCTGCAACGTATGCATATGGGGCAATTGCTCCTGTCAAAATTACGTCCACAAATAGTGCTTCTTTGTGAAATGTGAAAATATCGCCCAGGTTTATAAATAACAAAATTATGCAAATTCCTGTGATCTATGACTCATTTCCCTCATCGAACATCTGTCCAACACTGAAAGACGCCTATTGTAATAGAAGCCACTGAGCATGCTAATTTTTAACTGAATCAGTAAAAGGAGTTACTGAAATGATTATCTGTGTCGCCCTTAGAACTACTCCTAAAGACAGCGGCTCCTACATGTGTGTCGCCACCAACCACTTCAACAAAACAGTCTTCACCTCCAACAGCTCTGGAGTTTCCATCACAGTCAAAGGTTGGCTGTTGTGAATAAAACCTCAGGGCTCAATATTTTATTGACATGGAAAGGCTCCTTTAAATAATATTACACTCTCCTGCATCCTGTTCCCTCAGACGTGGTGTCAAACCCTGACCTCTCCTTCACCGTGTCAAAAGAGGGCTCCAACGAGTATTTTGCCATGGTCACCTGTCAGTCAACGAGAGGGACTCTGCCTGTCACCTTTTCACTATACAACAGGACAGAAGTGATTGCCAATGCGACAGTTGAAGCGCGAAAGGCCACATTTAAGGTTCCTCTGGTCTTGGGCCAGCACTTGGGAAGGCTCCAGTGCCAGGCAAACAATGGAGATCGGATTGGATACAGTGGGTTGATTCCCCTAGAAGTTGGTATGTGCATTGTTTGAAACTGCTGACATAATACTGTGGTACACACTACTTTGTAATTAAGTAAATAATTTATTTTTGGATCCATACTGTCTTTAACAGTCCCGGTTGGCGGGCCTGTGATGATGCATTACGACTATGACGTTGGAGAAAACTATGCTGTAATCGGCCTTAGGCTCTACTGCAAGGCCGCGAAGGGTTCTCTTCCACGGTACCAGTGGTTCCTCAACAGAACCCTTCTGCATGACCAAGGAAGCTTCTACTATGTGGTCAACCAGCCCCCAGAACAATCTATACTCTTGCTGTCTGTAGGGAGGAGCAGTGCTGGGACATACCACTGTGAAGTGTCAGACAGCTATGACAACACCACCGCTATAAGCAGCAAGAGGAAGTATTTGGATAAAGAAGGTATATTTGACCCGCTACTGTTGATTTGTATAAAACATCCCCGTGATAGCTGGCTTCATCTCTTCTCCATCGTCCTGCTACTCTAGTGCTGAATCGGATTCCCGTCTTGGTGGTGGCAGTTGTGTTTGGATGTTTCACATTCCTGGTTTTTCTGATCTCTGTTTGTTGTTGGACCGGAGTGCTGTTCAGTGAGTCCACAATGTTTCTATAATTTCAAGGAGTGATGTGTTTATCTGACCTCCTCACTGCTACTGTGAGTGAACATTTTTACTCCTCTTTCAGGGCGAAGGCGGTACGGAGAGAAGTCTCTGTGAGTTTGATTCTGATACCTTGAAAAATTATGACTACATTTCCCATGAAGCCTTTACTTCCTCTTCTGAATAGAACTACTTGATCTTCAGTCAGTTTTTCTTTTTTCTTTTACTGAGGAAGAATAACATGCTGGCAGTTAACCCACCATGTACAATTAAAAGAAACATATCAGTTGCTAAGTGAGTTGTGTGCCATGAAACCAGTACAGCAGCATTCATTTCATGCAAAGGTCGAAAAACAGCCACAGAAAATGTGAAATCCATAGCCCCACATATGGCCCGCAGTTAAATGTGAATGTGGTGGGAAAAATTCAATCAATAAAAAAAAGACTATTATTATAGCTATAGTTCAGATTGTATTAGTTTAACTGTTCAATTATGTTTTTAGTGAATTTTCTACATGATGATGTAAATGCGAAATGCCCAGGATTTTAATTCCCATGGACAAATACTCAATTCCTCTTGCTGCATAATATGTCATTTCAAATCATCATGATATACCAGAAGATGTCAAATTTAAATTTGATGATTCAAAAGAAATGTCTGAATCAGCCTTTAAAAGTTCATCATGTTTCATTTGGGAGTAACTGTGCCATGTGTACTCCTCGTTGGGTTGTTGAAACCTTCACAGAAACAACATTGCCAAGCTACAGGACTTTGCAAACAAACCTTGCCTGCGTGAAAACAGCTGTGTATGTGACCGCTGGCCTTTTCTCCTCTCAGGTTGAGCTTGGAGATGGAGAGAATGACCCCTGCATATGAGGACGAGCTGGTCAGTCAATATTTCTGTACCTCAATCACTGTCATATGAGCAGTTTTTATGATCGCACACTGTACTATCTGCTAGGGATGAGCAAGTACACCACTATCTGTATCTGTATCTATTCAAAAAACTAAATGATTTGTATCTGTGGCCGTACTCGGAAGGGGATGGCGCTTAATCCGGATGTGGGCAGGACTAACGAACTAGTTAGTTATTCAAGCTTGAAATTGGTATGAATGGGTTGATCAGAAATTTCGGTATTTATTAGAAAACTATTTAAAGAACAGCCTCAGAATTGAGCGTCAGTGCAATGTTTTTGATCACAATAGTATCTGATGATACTCGTACTTGCAAAGTACGTTATCTGTACTGGATACTCGTTTCAACCAAGTAATTGCTCAATGCTTCTAACTGCTTTAGGATACTTAACCTTGACACAGAGCCCATCTCTTTTTATAGGAATTGTCAGAGTACAATGAGGATGCTGATGTGGTGAAGACAGCCAGAGGTGGTGAATTTGATCAGGTGAGATCCAAACTATTCATGAAATCAATCAGCTATAGTGGCAAGAAAAAGTATGTGAACCTTTTTGGAATTTCATGGTTTTCTGAATAGATTTGTAATAAAATGTGATCTGATCTTCATGTAAGTCAAGGAAATTGACAAATATAATGTGTCTAAAATAATAACACAAAATAAATTAAAACAACCAAAAAAACCTCATAATGCTTGTGGAAAAAGTAAGTGAACCCTTGCGTTAATGACCTCAGAAAAGCTAACTGGAGTCAGGATTTAGCACACCTACAGTCTCGTTAAGAAAATGAGTTTAGAGTCCCCACCTCTAAACTCATTTTCTTAACGAGAATGCAACAACATTGACTGATAAAAAACCCTCAAAATGTTTGGAGTTCACGCTGCACAAGAAGCACATAATTATGTAAGCTATGCCTTGCCAAAAAGAGCTTTCAGAGGATCTATAATCAAGAATTGCTGATTTACATAAAGCTGGCAAAGGTTATAAAGTGATTTCAAAGACTTTAGAAATTCACCAGTCTACAGTTCAGCAAACATTCTACAAATGCAGACACTTTGGGACTGTTGCTACTCTACCAAGAAGTGGGCGCCCAGTCAAAATGACACCAAGAGCTCAACGAAGACTCAACAATGAGGCAAAGAAACGATCCCAAATGACAGCCAAAGATTTGAAGGCATCATTGGAACTGGCTAACATCTCTGTTCATGAGTCTACAATACGTAAAATATTGAACAATCACAGTATCTACGGCAGGATACCACGAAGGATGCCACTGCTTACTAAAACGAACATTGCTGCAGGCCTGACAAAATGTTTTGTCGACTGATGAAACTATGACTGAACTATTTGGACGAACCACACAGCACTACATCTGGCATAGAAAGGGCATGGCATATCCTCAAGAAAACATTATCCCAACCGTAAAGTATGGTGGCGGAAACATCATGATTTGGGCCTGCTTTGCTGCATCAGGGCCTGGCGAGCTGGCAATCACTGAGGGGAAGATGAATTCCCAAGTATATCAGACAATTCCTCAGGATAATGTGAGAATATCTACGTCAGCTGAAACTGTGTAGAAGTTTGGTTCCAGGACAAAAAAAACACCGGAGCAAGTCCACAACAGAATGGCTTCAGAAAAACAAAATCCGCCTTTGGAGTGGCCTATTCAGAGCCCAGAGCCCAGTTATTGTTTATAAGAGTTCACTTACTTTTTCCACTGCCATTTTGAATGTTGAATAAGTGTCTTCAATAAAGACATGAGGGATCAGAATTTATTTTGTGTTATTATTTTAGACACATATTTGTCAATACCCTTGACTTAGATGAAGATCAGATCACATGTTATGACAAATTTATGCAGAAAACCATGAAATCCCAAAAGGTTCACATACTTTTTCTTGCCACTGTAAACAAAGCAAGCAGTCAGATTCTCCTGCTCATATGTCTGTTCTCTCCTCAGGAGTCTTCTGATGCCTCCTTGGATTAATAACCCCAAATTGAGAAAGGGAAGAAGATGTTGGTTAATGAGTGTTCAAATTTTTTTGCTCTGTAACAGCCTGCTGTTGTTCAATAAACCTATCTGCTCGTGATGATCTGTGTTGTCAAGTCTTCTCTGAGCATGAATAATTATATGATCTATCTCTGAAGTACTTGTGATAAAATATTGATAGCAGTCACCGCATGATGATCTTTCCGGGCTCCTAACTGATCAACTCCGCCCCTCTGATGCGCAGCCGCCCGCGCAGCTCCTCTGGGCGCCTCCCGTCTCCGTCAAGTGAAGCAGTGAGCACGGCAGAAGGTGGCAGCAGTTTGAGTTTTTGTTGAGCTTGGTAGGCTGTCTTGTCAGGTCGGTTCAAACCACACGGAGAGCTCCAGAGGATCGTCTGAACGAGAGAGAGACAATGGAGGAGACGGGCGGTGCAAGTGCGTACGGGGTTTCGCTCGCAGGTGGAGGCTTCGACTTCTACAAGTTTGTCCGACAGCCGCAAACCATCGTGCGGCTGCTGAGCTGGGTGAGTGGACTGTGTGTGTAGGCGATTATGTTTTATCAATGCGTGTCAAAGGTCCAAAAAGAGAGAGAAATAATATGTAACATGGTCTGTAAGCAGGTGCGTCTGCCCCGGAACCCGTAAACCGCCTCTGTGGAGCGGTGAAGCGATATTTTATTTGTGTTGGCCAGGACAGTGGGCTACTATATGCAGCGTCTCCGCGGGGCGTCATGTTGCACGCAGCTGGTGTGTGACAGCAGCTCGGCGACAGCACAGGTCAACACTGCTGTTGTCAGAGGACAAAAGACAGAAAACTGTCAGACACACTGAGACATCCACTTCTGGAAGCAAAAACACCTGCTAAATATAGGATGCATGATCATCTCACTCTGTGTGTAGTCTGTAGTCTCTAACATAACACACGGAGCCTACCATTAACTAACGATCACATTCACGTAAACTACATAAAAGAGTAAGTTCTTCTACAATGTTTGATCGTTTAAAATGGATAACATACAATGACATTATCAGTCGGTATCACAAAGAGGTTATACAGACGTGGGGGATTTACACAGAGAGGGAATTTATACACCAGGGGAAGTCCTGGGAAGTTTAAGTTGTGAGCTCCTGATCACTTGTTGCCAGGCAAAACTTGTGTCATAGATTTGTTTTTGTGGTTAGGACATTGATCTGCAAAGTCAAAAATGAATATAAACCAGAAGGTCCAATTAAGGTTATCCAATTAATATGCATTGTTGTCTAACCCTGGGTGATTGTGAGTACACAGATTGTACAGATTTATCTCCTGGGTGAAATGGAAAAGCTTTGGATCCTCAGTTGGACAGGACTGCTTTCATGTCTTTACAGACTCATAGCCGGGATTACCGAGACAACGGTGGATTTTCATTTAGTTGATTCATGAAGTGTAAACTGTTTTGTTGGGCCTCCCACTCATGCACATGCAGGGTGAAGAAAGACACAGCTTCACCTGGAAAGGGTAGCGTATCCAGCAGGGTGGACAAGGACTGAGGACAGAATGTGCTTTCGGTTGCCTGAACGACTGAGTGTTTATGTGCATACTGTGTGTGTGTGTGTGTGTGAGTGAGAGAGATTATGTGTGTGTCACTGGTAAACATGGGCTGATGGGCAGGTAAGGTGATAGCTCTCCCCGCTGACCCTCTCTTTTTACTCTTGGTGAATGTGTGCCACTGATCTCCCTCTCAAACACACACATATACATACACACACACACACACACACGTGCATGCTTAGTGCAGCTGTGCTCTACTCCATCTCAAATTCACACTGGCTAGATCACCATGTATCTCTGGTGATTTTAATCTTACTTCAACGAGCCAGCACCGCCTGGCACAAGAGAGGATTGTTTGCCCTGTAACTCTGCCTACAGGTCCCACAATGCACCACACCAGCTCCTGGAACAACATGTTGGATCACCTCTGAAGTGCCAGAATGAGGAAAACCAGTTCATGTTCTTTAGAGACCCGGCTGTCCTAGCTGTTAAATGCTGCACTGAAACCGTATGTTTATGCTCAATAATGAGCAACAGGCACCAAAAGAACACATTGTATGTACATCTGGGACATTTGGGCATGTTTGTGACATCTGTCACTCAACACACAAACACTTTCCATCTGTCCACTTATGTACAGAAACATCCATCTGCTCCACTAACGACCCCTCTGTCTCACGTTTGTCTTGTGATTTGAAAACCCCGCACATTCACTTCCCTAATGTCTGTGCCTTCTGTACTTTTCGGTACTTTTTGTATCATCCCATCACCAGGGTTGTGGTCTCTCTCTCTCTCTCTCTCACTGCAACCTCCTTCTCACTCGTTAAACAGTTCCTCTCTATCCTGCTACCAGATCTCATTATGGGTGTTGTTAGTGAGTCGGGGGCATCTCTGGAGTCACATGGCTGGCAGCTGTCCTGAAAAGTAGGTCACATGGTTAGGTGGGTAACCAGAGCAGACAGCGGGACGGTCAGAGGAACCAGGCAGCAGTGAGCAATCTTCACTTTATAAAACACTACGAGCGCAAGAGCTTGGGGTGGATTTCAAGAGTCAGCAATAAGAGATTGTTCATGATGGCATGTAATAGTGTCCCTACGTTTCATGTAATAATTATATGTTTTTGTTATAGTTGTAGAAATTAATTCAGGTTCTTGTGACTCTTGAAACGTTATGTCACATCACTTTAGTCTGATGAATGGAGTCATCTCTTCTGTAAAGGTTCCTTTTAGTAGACAAGTTAAACCAGGGGATGTTTGCTGATTTTTGTCATGTGATGATGCTTGTTGGTGCGTTCAAGAAGCTCCTTATATTTTAAAGTTGGCTGCTTAACAGTAAGCTCTATAATGTAAAAAAAATTTTTTGATAGCAGAGCACATGATTGCAGTGCTTTTTTGGAAGCAGGCCCAAATACCAGATGTCCTGAGTTTATTTGAATGCACCACCAGGGAAGAGCCCAAATGGTCCCTGTTCTTAACTTAGTTTTCATAAGACATTGACAAAGTGAATAACCTATTTTTAAGCCAAGATTTAAGTCTCTGCTAGTAGATTTTAATGCAGTACTTGAACAGAAACTGAACTAAAACCAAACATGCCTTAAAGGTAGGAAATCTGTCTCAAAACATTTTGCTTTTTATTTATCATTGAAGGCTACCATCTTCTTTTCTCCTGTGTCAACATAGATATTTGCCATAGTGGTCTTCGGCTGCATCACAGCAGAGGGATACATCAACACTCTCCACAGTCCTGAGGCAAAGTGCATCTTCAACCAGAATGACTCGGCATGTCAGTACGCTGTTGGCATTGGGGTGATTGCCTTCCTGGCATGTGTGGCCTTCCTGATGTTGGATGTTTACCTGCCTTTTATGAGCAACGCTCAGGAAAGGAAGTATGTTGTCATAGCAGACCTTTCATTCTCAGGTAAGCAGGAGAGTTAAAGTGATTTCTTTGTTTTGTAAGATTGTTAGAGCTGCTACAGCTTTATGGGGTGTTATACCTTCTTTCAGCTCATTGTTTTGGGTTTTCTGCCCACACATTTACAGTTTTGGTTACTATAAACACTCTCATCGTTCGCCTCTCCAGCCACAGCAGGCAGCTGTTTTCAGAAAAAAAACACTGTACAATACCTGAACAGCACCGAACAGCAGACAGACACAGTTAACGACTAGCTGGTGAACATAGTGGAGCATTTAACAGCTAAGGAACAAGATATTTCCCTCAGGAGTTGGTGGAGACCTAAAAGAGAGTGAATATTGGACTAGTCAGGTGGATACCAACGACTCCGAATGAAATATAATGTTTGTCTGTATTTCATCCTAAAATAAGTATCATGTTAACACCACCGTTCACCATATCAACTTTATAGGCTGATAATATGTCAGTGTTTTGTTTAGGCTACACCTTGTTTAACTGTCCCCTATTGGTCAAACACATCAGTTAATGCTGCTTTAAAGTGAACTTGAAAGTTGAATCAGATGCCCGGATCTGAAACAAAAATAATACACTTGAATGAAAGGTGCTTTGTGCCCAGTGAATTACCTTTGTAGAGATAGTGGAGGGCCCAGTCATTTCTCAGGACGCCCAGCTTTTTGAGAGATGAAAAAGTGTAATGGATTAAAGATACGTGAGGACACCGTCTCCTAACCAGAAATTAAACACAAGTTAATGCTTTTGATTAGATGGTAGACAAGACGTTATGTCATCTGTCAACATCTGGACACATTCTTGTATACAGAATACATGAGTACAGTATATGGCAGAGATGTCATGTCATACTTAGACCACACATTTTCCCCCTACAGTAATTCATCTGATTTCCATATTAATGAAGAGTTTTATTTAGTGTATAAATAATAATAATAGATTTTACTTTAAGATATTTATGTAATAAAATATATGATTCGTAGTTGTTTGAAGATGATATTTGGCCGTAGTGTAGTTTTTTCAGTGTTATCAAGTGTACTAGTGGGTGTCTCCCCTTCTCAGTCCTTTCTTTCCAGTTTCACTTTTCTCATGTGGATGTGAGTATTGGTGTAATGTGGTATTATTCATTGTCGCACACAGTAGATGATGGGTGTGCAGCAGGGTGGACGAGGAGAGTATGACGTGAAATATTTTGATGAAATTAAACATCAGCTGTACATGACACAGCTCACAGTCAGCCATTCTTCAAGGACACAAAGAAGTGTTAGTTTGAAAACCAGCTTGTGGCCATTCCAGAAAAATGGGAACAGGAAAGCTCTTATTATTCTATTGACGCTGTTTTTGTTCTTTTGTATGTTTTTCACAGGAACTGGCTTTTCATATCAGGGTTGTCAGCTGAGCACTTTTGGTATCTTTTCATGCAGTGATAACAATGATTTATATCTGTGTGTGTGTGTGTGTGTGTGTGTTTTTTAGGGGCATGGACCTTCCTGTGGTTTGTGTGTTTCTGCTTGTTGGCCAGTCAGTGGGGTCGCACTCACAATGTCGGTAGTATCCCTGAGGACGCTGCACGTGCCACCGTGGCCTTCTCATTCTTCTCTATCGCCACTTGGGTGAGCGGGACTGCTGTTGTCTTCTTTTCATTACAGACATTTCAGACCTTAGCCTCTGTTTGAGGCTAAGCCTCTAGTCTGAGTAAGAAGGTCAACAATCATGTTGTTGGTCTTCTTACTCAGACAAAAGTCTACCACTTTACATAACTGGGGCTTTTTACTAATGAAGTTAAATAAACATACTGTGTTTCTACGTATTTTATTTTTGAAAGAATATCATAGATTTTAAAATTGACAAATATGTTTTTCCTTTATTAAAGCAAGAGTTTGACATTTTGGGAAATAACGCTTTCTTACTGAGAGTTAGATGAGAAGATTAATACCAATGTGTGTCTGTTAAATATGAATTTACTGACAGGAGACGATAAGATTAGCTTCACATAAAGACTGTATGGCAGGTCAAGTATGGGACTATTTCTTGGCCAGGCACAGTGACTTCCTTTAATCCACAACTGGTCGTATTTACAGTTAGATTTTTGTACACATTAAACAAACACGATGTAATGTGTTAATCAGGTGCTGAGGTATTTTTAAACCTTTGTACAGAGCCAGACTAGCAGTTTCCCCCGTTGTTTCATATTCAACAGGCAGTCTTTTCAGATTTTTGCATAATAACACATGATTCACACACATATTGTTTGTAGAAGTCCTCCTGGTTGGTGTGTTCAAGTACTGTTGGGAAACCTATGACATTTGACAGCTGCTGAACAGCAAACCTTTTATTTCTAGATACTTTAATCATTTTGATCTCACACAGAGTGTTTGTCGTATGTAGCTGTCAGAGCCATTTAGAAAATATGGATAATGTTTTGGATAATTTTGTATTCATAAGTCATGTTAATCTTCCTTTTTATGTGTTTCACTTGGTAATATTTATGTCCTGCAATAGTGGCAAAAGAAGTTTTTTAAGTTGCCACTACAGTGACTCTTAATAGCTGAGCAAACACCCAACATTTCCTCATTGTTTGTCTTCAGGGTCTCTTAAAGCACAGCTTGTGTTTGCAAGGGTATTCTTTATTTCTTTTTCGATGGCTTTTAGATCACGTGTGTTGGAGCTTGAATGCTGAATTCAGAAGACTTTTCAAGGCAAACCCAACCATTTAATGGCATTATCGCACAAGTAATGTAGCAATAAAGTAAAACATTGACATTGTGATGAAATACCTCCCACTAAGCTTCAGTTTATTTTTACTCTGGTATGAAGTAATACCAGTTGTGTAGGCAGTTGAGAAAAATACACCAGTCTAAAACAATGCTTTGGAACATCCTCAGCAATTGTGTAAAGTCAAAATTTTTACTGAAAAACTGAAAGAGTCTTCAAAGTAAATGGAATAACATTTTTATTTCACAATACAGGGAATCTTGACCTACTTTGCCCTGGGTCGTTTCCGTCGTGGCGTTAATGAAGTTACCATCCCAACCTACACGGAGCCACCACCAGATCACCACACCTCCTACCCTCCAACCTATGCCCCCACCTCCTACAACCCCACTCCCTATACCCCTACCACTTACACAGCCTATCCCAGCAGTGTGGCCGACATGCACCAGCAGCCTCCCTACACCCCGAACGCCCAGCTGCAAGGAGACGCCGGCTACCAGCCGCCCAGCTACTGAGGCACATGGATGTGGTGGTGTTCCAGGTCATCTTTTGGTGGACTTGTAGTTGTACTACGCAGACCCAGAGCTATATCATATTGATGTAGTTTTATGTTTGTTTTAACACAGTTTTCCAAGTGTTGTCAGATTTTTTTTTTTGAGATTTGAAAACCTGAGCAGTGCAGCTGCAAGTTAGAGATGAGGGACACTGCGGTTTACGCCAAAGGGTCTGTGGTCAGATCTTAAGACATCAGGCTAACTGCTGACATTAGTGCTGATGATTGGGTAATCTTACCTTAGACCTGTGTGCAAAGACGCAACTTATACCTCAAATGGGCTAATCCTGAAGCGGACAGGTAGATAGAACGTACCCAGGAGGTCAAAGGTCACATTATGAAAAATAACTCATAACGGCTCAATCAGGGAGCAACAAGCCAACACAGTAATGTGAACCTGAGAATGCATTTGTACATAGATTTCACTACGCAAACCTGATTTTAATGGTTGTATGTGCCTGATTTTCTTATTTGGTTTAGTAGATGTTTCCCCTTCAGTGCATTTAGGATCTATAGACAGTTTAGGATGTATTACATTGACAAATGATTTTGTGGAACAGTGGGAACCACTAGACCACTGTAAAGCCAAATGTCCCCGTGTGATTAAATTTTTTTGTTAATCCGGGCTGTGTAGCAATTATGCAGTTAACTTTGTTAGCCATATAACCATAAAATCACCCTTGAAAGAAAGTGTTACAATCTTTGTGCTACAGTAAAATGGCTCTCGTGTTCGCCATCTCAACTAGCTATGTTTTTAATAACTACTCTAATCTAAGTGTTGTTGATGGTGACATGAGAAACCATAAAACCCCTCCATTTCTTTAACTTGGACCATGGCAAATGTGTAAATCTGTAGAGGTGTCTATTGGATGTTCAGTCATTGTTGCCTTTTTAGCAAACTTTAAGATGGACCAGAGGGAGGAGTTGGTAGATAACTTTGCACTTACTGAGCAGGTTTATCCACCGAGCATGTCCTCATTCTGAAGAGGGTAACTTATTAACTACCAGCAACAATGCTTCCTCTTAAGCCCGCAAGCAGAGCGGCCTCACACTTCCTCCAAGGTCTTGATGACATTTAGTTTTCTGAACACTGATGCTTATCTCTGGTTTACAGGCTTCTTAATCCTTAATACTGTTGAAAGCAGAACACAGCGGGCATGTCTTTACCGATGACAGTTTAACACCTCAGCCTGCAGTAATGAGAATCAAACACGTGTCCTTAGAAAGACTACTGGTTCACTGTGTTGCTTTGTGTCTGACAGTGTGTGTGTCAGTTTAACACCTCAGCTGCCTTGTCTGGCTGTTTTATCTCAGCTTAAGTGACACAAAAGTTGGCAGATAGTCAGATTTTGGTAGTTATTGCAGGGGTGTGAGCTGACTTTAGATCCGTCATTGACAAATGAGAAATTGAATGAGGATATTTGTTAACATGATGCTGTTATGGTACTGCATTGAAGACCTTTGTACTAGTGAAAAAGACATTGTTGATTTTTTGGGAAGAAAAGTGAATAAAATCTGCCATGATTAAATATGGTTATATTTAGGTTAAACAGCTGTGTATCACAGCTGCCTTCCCTGCTGTGCATGAGTGATTTTTGCAAAGGCTGATTTTCGTGCAGTTAATACTCCTCAGTGAACATCATTTAAAATCATTGTATGCCTCCGATTAAGACTGCAGCTTATTACCAAACCTGAACTGGCTCAACTGAATTTCTAAATTGTGCCTTTAGACCTAAAGTGCCCCATCATGTAATAGTAACAAGGCTAAAGTTTGATATACAATGTTGATTTAATACCACACATTAAATGTTTAAGTTTATTAACTTGGTATTTTATTTGACTACTGCATATTTCAAGTGCCATGTTTTAGATATGAGGAAACTAGAATAATGTGTAAAATCATGATTTGTGAGTACAAGTGTTTTATAAAAGAAAAACAAAATACTGGTTAGGTTGTGGTTGGTTTGATTTATTTTCATTTCTTCTTCCTAGTACTTTTTGTGACAATTGAGTTGTGAAGTTGCCATATGTACTTCTGCTTTCGTCATTTGACGTCACGGTGTCAAAAGCGGAAGTTTACTTTTGCTTAGAGAATAAAATCATGTACAGGATGCTCTGTCCTATTGAGGATGTTGTGTTCATGTACTGCAGTAGTACATGTTTTACACTTCGTGGAGAATCTACTTTTCCATTTCAGCCTGCCAGCTCACTGCACAGCCTTGGAGCATGCCAGGATTTAAACAGGTTATTTTGGTCCTCTGTAGCATGTGAGGGCACTGGATTACACATTTTACGTTTCGTAAGTTTGAGGAAAGAACAATTTCCACAACATTCTCCATGAAAAATCTCTCCAGAAGTTACATCCTGGTTTGAAACCAGACATTTTACTTAACATTCCTGACCCGCTATACATAGTAAAACATTTCACATATTGAACACTGTTAGACAATACATTGTGTTAATAGAAATATAATTTACAACCTTTATTTGACAGGAGAATGCACATGAGTTTAGTGAAACCATTGCAATGAGTTTAGTTTGCTCATTTTCAGGGTTATTGTCAAGTGCTGTCATTCAAGTAATATACCAAAATAAAGTAGAATACTACATCACTCTGATTAGACACCAAATACAAACAAATAGAACCATTAATTCCTGGCTCTCTACTCTCCGCTCAACTTCTGCAACAAGTCTTTGTGTGTTTTCAGAGGTGGAGAGAGGAGAACAGCTTTCTGGGAATCCCTGAGTCCACAAGTTTTCCAACGAGGACATTTTGTGGCGTTTCATGCCTGAAAGGAGCACTGTTCTCTTTGTCCACCATCAGACCTCCATAACACTTTCTACACACCGCCTGATACTTGTCAGCTCCACCGATCACTTCCACCTGCGGCACAGAAACAGTTCACTGGTACACAGATTGGTAAAATTGTTAACACAATATACCAATAAATCATAATATAGTCACGTGTCCAACACTTCTGTTCTGAAGCCCTTTACAGTCAACTTATTCGAGACTTTTCTTAGGTTTGCCTCACCTCTTTCTCTGTCCCTATCCTCTTGGTGTAGGCAGCTTCTTTGTAACACTGCATGCAGACGGCGTGGAGCTTCACTACGCTTTCTGCTAGAGGAATGAGGTTCAGGATGTTTCCAAATGGCTACAAGAATCCATAGGACAGCAGACAAGGAGTCAGTACCACTGAATAATTGGACATATAAATTACATTACAAGGCCAGAACAGACACATTATAGTGTGGAATAATAAGCACATTGAGCAGTTTGTTATTGTGCTGCCCATGCGGATTGTTCAGTCCTTCCATTAAAATGTGCGTTTTGTATTTGACATTGTGTTGGGTCTATACCCACAGTGGTGCTCTATCTGCCCATGCACACAGTATCTCTCTGTACGAACTGTGAGTGTTTGCCAGTATCACATCGACATGTGGTGACAAACACAGACACACCTTTCTCTGGAAAGTTCCATCCAAGGCAGCTACAATGACAGTCTTTCCTAAATTGGCCATCTCCTCACAAAACTCTACTGTGTCTGGAAACTACAATAAACACAAGAGAAGCCGGGATTTAGTTAGTGAGGAATGTTTCCTGCTGAATTAACAATCCACTAGTGCAGATCAAGACAACCTGGTCTTAATGGAGATCAATATTAACTAGTTCACAGAAATACATACAGCACATATAAACTTACAAACTGTCCTTCATCAATTCCAATGACACAGGCTTGCAATGCCAGAGGCCGCACATCTCCTAGACAGTTAGCTGGTACGGCTTCCATTGTGTTTCTAAAGAGACAGACAGGACAGAGAGAAAACACTTAATTTTCAAAAAGAAACGTGTATTGCTTTGTTACCTTGCTTCATCTGCCCTTCCAATCAGAAGAGAAATTACTTCCTGCTTTATTCAGAAGTCCTGACCGGAAAACTTCCCAGTCTACCCAGGAACCCACTAGGTTATGTTTTGATCAGGCATCATGAATCAGATTGCTGAAAGACTTCCCTGTCTGCCCCTTTTCAAAAGCTACTAATGCAATTACTGATTTGTTCAGTTCAAAATAAAAGTTCACTAGACAACTACTGACATTTCAGTGGATCCACCCTCAGCTTTGCATTTCTCCATCATCATCATCTCTATTTTACTCTTTGTAGTTAGGCATGTTCAAGCAGTAATTTTATGTAAATCCACCTTATTTTGTATTTGTTATTGTAAGAAAACTGACAAAGCAGCACAAATTAAACCCACACTAATGAGCAAGGTTACAAAGCCTTTTTGCCTTCCTTTACTGTTGGCTTCCATTACCTCTTCCCCAAACACAAAGACAAGTGGATTTCCGTGAATGTGAGCAACTTGTTAATACAGTGGACGTACTTGTCATGTGTGGCCATTCCTTTGTCAGAATAACGAGTGTCCTTGGCATATTTGACCACCAAGCAGTTGTACTGGGCTATCTGGAAACGGCGCACTCTTCGCATCAGCTCAGTGCTGAAAAGTAAATGACAATTATTTAGTCAACACCAGTGAAACCCATCTGTACATTTTGTGCATGAAAAATTTTTTTTATAGATAAGTTAGATAGATTTGTGACAGCACATCTCTCACGCGAATGTCGTTAACTACATCAAAATGATTCAATATGGTTTAGTATGATGTGCAAAATCAGTGTAAAGTGGTCCTAAAATGTGTAAACATACAAAGCATACTGTGCAGCAATTGTACGCTTTACAACATATCTCCTACAGACGTTTAAGGTAAACAATAGAATGGATTTGGCGGGACATTCAAGTCTGGGCGGAATTTGTGACAGTTCTGGTTTTAACATTATTTACAGTGAAAATGAATAACTGTAACTTAGTTAACTCCACCTGCAAAGAGACCTGCTGTTTTTATATTTGTGAATGAATAGTTCACCTTTTGCCTGAAAACATCGGTCCAAAGATGACCTGTAAACAACAGTGGAGAAGTTAGTCTATGAAAGTCAATGACAAATAACATTCATTTAAATACACATTAACGTTAGTCTATGTCCTGTTTGCCTACGTTAAATTGAGCTGTGGTAGTTAAAGGTATGATATAAGTTAATTGAGACAATAACGTTGACGTTACATCAATCAGATACGAACCTGAACCTGTCCCCGTGCTTTCCTCGGTGAATTTGGAAGAACTCTTGGGAAATCCACACAGTCCATTTTTTTTTATTTAAAGACGCGGCAACTCAAATAAAACTTAAAACAGTTAAATAAAAAATAAACACATTACTAATTTAATCCGCACAAGAAAAGTTGCTCTGAAACTAAACTTTGAATATGGCGGGCCCGCGGCTGCTTTATGTCAAATTCCACCAATGGGCGTGGAGTCACGTGATTCTTTGAACCTATCACCTTCCACAGAGATTTGACAGCAGAGCGCGCAGGCGCCACTGTTGACCAATCAGAGCACATAACAAAACGATAACGCGCCTTGTAGCAGAGCCCTGCTTATTAGCTCAGTACAAGTAATGTTACTTGCATCGTATTAGAGTATTTAACTTTATTATATTGCCGAATAATCTACAGAAAAATAAATAGTAAGAAATGAGGCCAGAGGTATATATCACTATTAATATATAACTATTCTGTACAATGTTTAAATCCCACATTCAGATCTAATGTTTCTTTTTGTTTGCAGAGGTAAGTATAACCATCCACTGTAATGAAACATTACTCACGATTGGCTTTTTGCTGATGCATCGCTGAACAATATGCCAAGAATAATGTAAAGTTTTACAATGAAATGAGCACTGTGCAGAGAGCAGTACATCCTGTTTGTACAGTCGGCGTTATGCTGACACTGAGAAGTGGCTGTCCAAATCTTCAGAATGTCTCAGTTTGTGGACAGCTAATAGATAATACACTCAGTTCATTCATTACAAAAACTACAATCATTTCTGACATTAGGACAGTATTTGGAGATGCTGGTGAGATTTCACTGATCATTCTGTCCATGCTGTTTCCTAGATGAACATGTTGTTTTTATCTTGACATAAAAACACAATGTACTGCAGTGTTAGGTTAGCCTTATTTTATGTGTTGCCTATTTGCTACGAGAAAAATAAATTACACTGGGGAAAAGTGCTTCTTTTAAATTTAGTAAGAAGCACTTTGAGGTAATTGTACTAATTTACGTTCTCTATTACTTTATATGCTCCACAACAATTTAGAGGCAAATATTGTACTTTTTACTTCACTGTACTTAAATTGATAATGTTAGTTACTTGTTCCTTTGCAGATTCAGATTGACAATATAAAATATAATCAACAAATAAATTATTTGCCTATGCATTATAGGCTAAGATAAGATGAGATATAAAGGGGACATTCACAAGCAACAGGTATATAAAAGGAACCAGCTGCAGCATTAAATAGGTATACACAATAATGCGTCATTAATATTCCAATAATATAGTACATTATTCTGAAATGGGCCGTCTTACATAATGAATACTTTTACTTAGGTAGGCCGACCATAAGTATATTTGTATGCTAATACTTTTACTATTTTAAGTACAATTTTGAATGCAGGACTTTTACTTGTAACAAAGTCAAGTCTGTCTAAACTGTGTATTGCTGCTTTTACTTAAGTAAAAGATCTGAGTACTTCCTGCACTACAGACACACAGTGAACACTAATATGCTTAGTGTTTTACCACTACAAAGAAAGTGGATTGCACTACAAACATGTACAAACGCCTGCATTTATGTAGTTTAATATGAAAACGACTTTCACTTCCTATAAAGCAGCTGTTGCCTACTGTATAGTGGTCACATGGTGGGCCAGTCAGAGGAACAGATGTAGAAAACAGCTGCATTATCTTTCTCTTCCTTCTTTTAACGCGACTGTAAACATGTTTTCAGTCTGCCGCCTGTTGGAAAGCGTGAGACAGTTGATATTGTGTTTCATATTGTGTAATTCCAGCTCGGGTCATGAGTTTAAAGTCCTTCAGTAGCTCGGACTTGTCTGCCAGCGCACTAGGCGAGTTTAGTCACTTCCAGAGATACAACGATGCACTGGGCTGAAATGAAGAAAGATGTAAGAGTTTTGACTTTTGATCTTTTTCTCTCTTCTAGCTTTAATTGTGTAGTTTGGCCCAACTGTTCCCATTAGAACAATTAGGCCTAAAGGAACATACAGTAAGAGAGGGACGCCCTCTCACCAGTGGGAGACAGCAATATTTTATAACACTTAGTAAATGTAGCATTCCTTATGATTCAGCTAATTTCTTTGGTGATAACCGCATTTACACAAGAGTCTGAAAGGGATCTTAAGTGGTGGATGCAAAATTAGGCAGAACAGATGTTCTAAGCTTCTTGCCGAAATTTGCATCCACCTCTAAACATAAATGAGTGTTAACCTTTTTAATATACAGTCTATGGTGTTACCTCTGGCGAGGTGCATGCAATTCTCTGCAAAACACCTGAAAGAAACAGAAGCCGAAGAAGACCGACGCCCTATCTAAAGTAGGTGGTTAATAGTAGCAGGGGAGGGCGCTGTTGACCATGTTTACTGTGTGTCTCGTCGGCTCTATGTGGTTGGTGTCTGGGCTTTCATGGCCGCCTGGTTGACAGCAGTCTCTCCCTGTGACAGGAGCTTGAGAGGCAGTATTCGCCCAGCCGATGGTCGCGCAGGATGTCGGCAGACGACGTGATCAAGGCTCATGTGAAGGCTGTAAAGGAAGGTCGGTCTGTTTTGAAGCTAGACGCTAATTCGCAACAATACACAGAAATCCGGTTGAGGCGAGCAGGGACACAGGTGTCTCGACAAATGTCTGTTTGCCTGTCGAAGCTTTGTAACCAGAGAGAGGATACGGGATAAAAAAAAAAACGCAGGCTGCGTAATTATAGCCTATCACTCCTATATTTCACAACTAAATATGTTTCTGAGGTAAAGGCTGCACAAGTCACATATTGGCAACGGTTCTTGATGGGCTTTGTGAAGATTTACTACAACTTCCATCTCTTGAGGGTGTAGCCTAAATAATATAATATGATATATAAAAAAACAAAATGCATGCTCTTTCTCCTGTTCAGATTAATTAATTTAATAACCCAGGTAAGAAAATACCTGACAAATCAAGAAACGTAATCAGATTGATGCTAAAAATCCAACAGTGCTCACACTGATTTGCAGCATTGACCCAACGCACTTAGAAATACTGTATATAAAGAAAAAAGTAGGGGAACAAACGTAATGGCAAAGTTATACTGCTTCACTGTATATGTCGTCATATCGATTACCCCCAGTGTCCAGTAGGATGTCATGCTTTGGTACTGTGTGTGTCCAGGTACAGAGCGTGCCCGTGGTCTGGCTCAGACTTTGCTGAACGTGCCATATGGGGAGGGAGACGGAGAGAAATTGGACGTTTACATACCCAGCACCAACTCTCTGGGTACAGACTGCCATGACACCCACACCCCACCCGGTTGTCATGCTTCAAATATGCAGAAGCGTAGATAATGTGTGAGGATTAACAGGCCTGATTCCCTCTGTTTCAGATGTCCCCCTTGTTATTTACATACATGGAGGCTACTGGCAGTTTCTCAGGTACAGTGTTATGCTCCATTCTGCTTTGCAATGCGGATATAGAGTTTTCATGTTGATGCTTTTGTGCTCATACAGCAAGGAGGAGTCAGGATTCATGGCTGTTCCACTCGTCGATAAAGGTGTAGTGGTGGTTGCCGTAGGCTATGACATCGCCCCCAAAGGTAGAGTCTCTTCTCACCAAGTTGTTGGATGACAATGGACTGGGAATCTCCGCCTTCTATCTGTGCCCCCTTTCACTTCTTTTTCAGGTAACATGGACCTGATGGTGTCTCAAGTACGCAGGAGTGTTGTGTCCGTTGTTCAGCAGTATTCTCACATCAGGTACTCATGCTTGTTGCTTCAAGTTCATTTTAAGGCATTACATTAAAAATGCAATTTTAAAACTCTCTTTCCTACCATCACAAATCTAATCCCTCAGCGGTCTGTACCTGTGCGGCCACTCTGCTGGGGCTCACCTTGCCGCAATGGTCCTCTCCACTGACTGGTCGCAGTACAGCATCACTCCTCAGATCAAAGGTAAGGTCCATCCAGTGGAACGGGACGAATTACATACATTATAATGACGAAGAAGCAAATATGCTCAGAAAAACACAGCAGGGGCTGGCTCAAATAGTGGCGTCGGCAGCTACTAGTGGCATTTCCGGTGGCAGCTTGAGATGCCGCGGCATCTGCCTCGGTTATCAGCGGCATTTCCGGCATATGCCGCTGATTCAAATCAATCAATCAATAAACCTGAACCGAGAGAAATTATGTTAGCAACAGTAGTTTATTATGCAGTGTCTATAATATTGTGCATTTCTTCATGTAAACAGCAAGAGTCATGTTTAATGTACGCATTGTTTGGTGCAATACAGTTGGTAGTTTAACCTAGGTAATTATTGTGTGTGCAGAGTTGTTACTGTTAGCACTATATTTAATATTAAATTCATATTTAATGTGGTTTTCATAGTAATAGAGCTGTTTCGGCTTTCTACCAGCAGGTGGCAGTATTAAAATGAATGTCTGGTTTGTGTCTTTGTTAACTGTTTTAAATCCCATACAGATGTATTTATTGTTCTTCATTTCATTTGTTTTTTCATTATTAAGGATTAATTTGTAACCTGGTTACCATCTTCATTCACCCACAGCCCAGCGTTAAATCTGCATCCCCTTCTGTTCTAACCTGATTCTGCTGTCAGCTTCTTAGCAGCTCAGGCAACAGACACATCAGAAATGTCCTACAGATCATCTGGCCTAAAAATAATGATTTACCACTGTGCTATTTGTAGGCTGCTGTTTGAATCTTTCTTATCCATACACATCTCAAGCTGCCACCGGAAATGCCACTAGTAGCTGCCGATGCCACTATTTGAGCTAGCTGTCTCTCGAAAAACAAGGCTACACTCACTATCTGGCTTGATGGCGATAGGGGGAGAAAGAGGAGGGGCAAGGTTAGATTTAGTCGGGGACATCTTAACAAGGGTTTATAGATTAGAGAGGCGGGGGTGTAGTGTGTGTTTCTTGTAGGTTCCAGCTCATGTGGGGGTTGAGGGGAATGAGGCTGCTGATGAGGCTGCTAGGGCAAGTTTAGGTAGGGAAAATGCCTCGGATGGATCAGATTAAGTTGGCCCGATTAAGACTGGGTCATTGTGGATTGGCAAGTGGGTTGTTCCTGGTGAGAAAGCACAGGGACGGCAAGTGTCAAGTCTGTGGAGTACAGGAGTCTGTCAAGCATGTCATCATGTTCTGTCCGAGATATGCTGAGGAAAGGAGATTGTTATTCATTGGCCTAAACGTTCTGGGAGTTGATCTATTATCTGTAAAAACTCTGGTGGGTGATGGTCCTAATCAAACAGAAAGAGCATTGGAACTATTTCACTTCCTAAAAGCCACGGGCCAAAATATAGGTCAGGGGGAGGTTTAATGTAGACTGTCTTTATCACCAGTGAGAGGCAGCAATGAACTAACAGTGCCTAGTCTGCCGGAAAGGAACAGAAGAAGAAGAAGAAGAAGAAGAAAAACAAGGCTAGAGATAGACATGCTGGAAAGCTGATATACTTTTGTCTTTTTAATTGTTTCTCTAATTGTCTTCTAGGTGCTTTCCTTGTCAGTGGCATATATGACCTCCTGCCCATCCTGTCCACCTACGTCAACGAGCCTTTGAAGATGACAGAGTACGTTCCTTACTACTGTACTGTACTGTACTGTACTATAGTAATCGGATTGTTACTCGCTTTTTACTTAAGGGTTAGGGTCAGCTGGGTCTGAGGACAACAAAAATGAAAACAATCTGGGCGTGTGGAGTTAGAAAGAAGTGATCTTAACAGACCTCTGTAGCCCGCTCCTCATCTCAGCTTGAGGCTACAGTTGCCACTACTAGCATAACCAGGGCTGCCGACTTTACAGTTTAGTTTGAAGTGAGATTTGGGTATTCAGTACCCACCAGAGGGGTCTGGGACTTCACTCTTCAGTCCTATTTATTTTGTTTAAAAAAGAACACAGTTTTACAGCATGTATAGCCTATATGAAAAACCAAATCAATAATCATGGTCAGTGATAAGTATTATGATCAATGATCAGCATACTTGCCAACCTCCAGACATCATAGCCTAAATCAGGAGTTCAAAACGTTCGAGGGAATTTTGCACTGTAGTGAATACATGGAGTCATTTTGTTGCTGAAATGCAAGAGTGTAGGTTTTGCTTCAACAACAGGGGACACATCAAGTGGGGGTCTAAGGGAGCTCCTCAAGAGCATTTCCTGCATTATGGTGGAAATTTCCTGCACCAATTTATGGTGGACATGTCGGCAGGCGGCAGATATTTCAAAATATAAAAATATGCTGGTAGGCTCTCAGGCATTGCGTATTTTTGTCAGATCAAGATCAAGATAAACTTTATTGTCCCCTGAGGGAAATGTATCTTGGGCAACAGTACCGTGCAAGGCTGCAGTAACAAGCAGTAACAGCATACGGACTTAAAAATCACACACGAGTACAGTCTATTCTATAGATTTAACATGGTGCATTGCACAAGTAGATAGGCATTGCCACATATCAGTAATTATTGAAATCAGATGAAATTAGGAGTAATGCTAAGAACAACAAAGATTAACCCTAAGTGATTCTGTGAATTGCACTGGATGCAAATAAAATCACGGACATTGAAGCAAACAATTGTAAGAAAATTGTAAGAATAAGGTAGATAAAATTTTCTAACTAATTGCAAACAAGATAAAATAGTAAACAATACTAGGAATTAATAAAAATTATTAAGTTATTTGATGTTCACTGCCAGAGAAAATTAATGTGTGACATCATGTGCCATCATATCTGTTGTCGCACCAGTTGGTTGTCAGTTATGCATTTGTTTGTCACTGTGTGAGAAAATTGATGAGTGTGTGAAAAGTGTCAGTTGTGTGAGAGTTGGCAGCTCTGAGCATTAACACATCCAAATATCTGAATGAACTGTTGGTGGTTCAGAATCAGTTTACATACGAGGAATTTGAATTTGGATTGTTTAATGCTCAAGATGTGCTTACTTATACAATAATACAATAATACAGTAATTAAATCAATCATAGGCTCACACATCACAGTTTTGAGTGTGTTAAGCTCAAGGTTGTTCTGACCACACCAGATCAACCTCCTGTCTGTAGGCCGACTCCTCATAGTCCTGGATGAGGCCGATGACCATTGTGTCGTCAGCGAACTTCAGGAGTTTCACAGATGGGTCTCCTGAGGTGCAGTCACTGGTGTAGAGGGAGAAGAGCAGTGGGGAGAGCACTGGTGCTGGATGTGATGTTCCCCAGCCTCACCTGCTGACTCCTGTCAGTCAGGAAGTGTGTGATCCTCTGACAGGTGGAGGCTGGCACAGTGAGCTGTGAGAGTTTGGTGCTGAGGATGTCCAGGATGATGGTGTTGAACGCCGAGCTGAGGTCCAACAGGATCCTTGCATATGTCCCTGAAGAATCAAGGTGTTGCAGGATGTAATGCATTTGACAGCATCATCCACTGACCTGTTAGCCCAGTAGGCAAACTGCAGGGTGTCCAGCAAGGGGTCTGTAATGTCCTTCAGGTGGGCCAACACCAGTCTTTCAAAGGACTTCATGCCTACAGATGTCAGGGCGACAGGCCTCTAGTTATTTAGTCCAGAGATGGAGGGGTTTTTGGGAACAGGGATGACTGTGGAATGTTTGAAGCAGGAGGGAACTTCACACAGCTCCAGTGATCTGTTGAAGATCTGTGTGAAGATGGGGGCCAGCTGGTCTGCACAGAAGAGCAGCAGTTTATCCATTTTGTTGGCCAGAGAGCGGACATTCGGCAGGTGGATAGAAGGGAGCGCAGTGCGTAAACCCCGCTGTCTCAGTTTAACCAGTGCACCAGCACGTTTTCCCCTTCGGCGTCTCTGGAGAATCCCAAACACAGCTGCCGCTCCTCCAACTAATAACTCCGGGAAAGTTCCAGGTTCGATGAGGAGCGGTAGAATAGTGTGAGCAGTTGAAAGTGCCCAGGGAGCAGTTCAGGGTTCAGGGCCTTGCTCAGGGACACAGTGGTGGATGTGTCACAGTGGGTGTAGTGTGTGTTTCTTGTAGGTTCCAGCTCATGTGGGGGTTGAGGGGAATGAGGCTGCTGATGAGGCTGCTAGGGCAAGTTTAGGTAGGGAAAATGCCTCGGATGGATCAGATTAAGTTGGCCCGATTAAGACTGGGTCATTGTGGATTGGCAAATGGGTTGTTCCTGGTGGGAAAGCACAGGGACGGCAAGTGTCAAGTCTGTGGAGTACAGGAGTCTGTCAAGCATGTCATCATGTTCTGTCCGAGATATGCTGAGGAAAGGAGATTGTTATTCACTGGCCTAAACGTTCTGGGAGTTCATCTATTATCTGTAAAAACTCTGGTGGGTGATGGTCCTAATCAAACAGAAAGAGCATTGGAACTATTTCACTTCCTAAAAGCAACGGGCCAAAATATAAGTGGGGAACACCTTCGGCATTCATTGGGGTTCATTGGGACATCGGGGTGGTGATGGTGCAGTGGATAAGATGCATACCTTTGGTGTGGGAGACCTGGGTTCAACTCCCCACTGTGACACATCCACCACTGTGTCCCTGAGCAAGACACTTAACCCCTAGTTGCTCCAGAGGCATGCAACATATATGGTTTGGATAAAAGCATCAGCTAAAGGAATAAATGTAATGATTCGTGCTGGACCCGATCCGATGACCTTCTGGTTTCAAGCTAAGTCCGAACAGACTGAGCTAATGCCGCCCCCAGTTGCATTGTGTGTAATGTAGGTGTCAGGTTTTTACGAGGAGGAAGAAGAATTAGAGGAATAAAAAGACGTATCTCTGGTTCTGCTGCAGTTTTAATTCTTTTTGTTCTGTCCATCGTCTGACAATATTACAGGAGGGCAGTGTTCAATCGGTGCAGTACTGTTGGAAGCGGTATGGCATATAATCGGATTACCGACTAGATAATCAGGGTTTTACAGTAATCAGAATTTCACAAGATGTAAAAGGGATAATTCAATTTCCTTTCTTAATCTTATTACTCACAGTAATCCAGACTTCCTCAACCTTGGGGCTGGAGCTACTTGATGTACAAATTTGTTTGCAAGAGACTTCTGAGAATATCAGTCTTAAAGGTGGGGTATGTGATTCTGGACAAATCCAGTACCATGATATAGAGTGAACAACAACACAGCAAGTAAAGTAACTAATGTTACCCAAGTTGTGGGTCAGCAAACTGTCGTTACAGTTGCGGACCGTGAGGAGATATTAGCTGAATTAGAAGAAAAAGATGTGTATTGAATTAGAAAAATTAATCCCACCTTTAATGTTTTTTCCTATTTGGTATTTCTTACAAAAACAACTTCTTGTTTTTATCTGTTTTCGTTTAAAACCTGATGGTTTTATGGCTGTTTTATTTTTCTGCCCTTGTGAAGCACTTTGTAACATGGATTTTGAAAAGTGCTCTATAAAAAAAGATTAAGAAAAAACATTTTGAATTCCTTTAATTTAATTTAACTTGGTCATGTTTTGAAATTTGTCAGACCTAAAAATGGGCCTATGATCCCGATAAGGTTGAGAAACCCTGCAGTCGTGTGTGTGTGTGTGTGTGCTTATAAATGAACTGTGACAAGAGTGTTGTGATTGTCTTTGTGGAGGAGAACTGTGTATGTGTGTGTAATTGTCCTGCTGGTCTGTCGTGCCAGTCAGTATTTGACTCCTCTGTCCCCCGGGTTGTTTCCTGTTGGCAGGGAGGTGGCGGTGAGGAACAGCCCCAGCAAATTGGTCCCTCAGCTCAAACTCTCCTTCTCTAGCTGCCACATCGTTGTGGCCGTCGCTGAGAACGACTCACCGGAGTTTCGCAAGCAGTCGGAAGAATATTACAAAGTGAGTGCTGCTGATAGAGCTTATTTAAGGGGCCCTGTGGACACAACCAGCAAATAACCCAAAGTTATGTCATTTTAAATAATGTAAAACAGAGAAAATCAACACATCTTGACCTTCACATTTGAGAAACTAGAACCAGAGAAAATTTGGTATTTTTGATTACAAACTTAAGCAATAAATCAAGAACCCACATTTTTGTCAGCAATTGATTTTGCTGTAACCTCTCATTTGTTGATGAAAGTATTCTGTTGTTCACTGATCAAATTGTAAAATGAACTGACAAATTAAATTTCAGTGTAAATGAATTATAATCATGTTTCATACAATATACATCAATTAGCATTTTTGAAATGGTTGCGTATATGTACTATTTCCTTACTTCTTTCTTCTGGATTTAAAGACTTTGGAGGCCTCAGGACTTGATGTGACCATGGAAGATGTGCCCAACACAGACCACTTCAGTATCATTGAGCAACTGGTTGATGGGGAATACCACCTAACAAAGGTACAGAATGCTACAAAAAAGTCGTAATGGATGCTGATGCAATCTTTCTTTCTTTCTTTCTTTCTTTCTCTGAGCATAACAATATTAATGTACAACCTGGCGCTTTGCTGATAACAAATAACTTGAAGTTATGAGAATGAGCTTTACTGCACAGTAGCAAAAGTCTTAAACCTGCTTAAACATTATCTTGTTAACTGTAAGACACATTTTTATGAAATATCCAGCCAAGTTTTGGTAGTTTTCACAAAATTCAGCATTTATGGACTGTAGTATATTATTACTATATAAGCATTTAAGGTTATAAGGTTAAGCACTTTATTTGTTGTTAAAACAGTGGTGTTTTAATTTATTTATTTTTCTGTAGCTTCTCTTAAAGATGATGGGGAAGAGCTAAGGCGGATCCATCATCTACTATCTACATACCTCTGTATCAACATACACCTCTGAACAGAGTCATCGTGCACCGATACTAATAAAATATGCATTATTTCAGGTTTGTACAATGTAATTTGAGTGATCAACAATAAGATGGCATGGATTGTTTTTGACTGTCTTGTTTACTGTTTCATTAGTTATATCTCTTTGTCCGCTATAGATACTGCTAGATAGAAAATACCCTAAACAAACTTTATATGTTCCAACCATGTTAACATGTTGTGAAAACATTATGTGCCTAAAACTGAGTCACTTCAAGGAAGATGATTGTTGCAAATTATACTACAGGTCACCCCGCTCATAATCAGTCACAAGCAGAATATTTAATGACTATAATGCACAGTGTTATTGTAAGGAAATACTTTTACACTGCATACTAAATGTTGTAGAGAGGAGGGTTAGTTTTGGGTTATTTCCAGTGTTTTGTAAAAGGGTGGGTCTGTCTGTTTTTGTTTTTTTCTTTCCTGTGACAGTCTGCAGCATTAAAATACATGGGTAAGGCAAAAATATTGTCAACGGACATATCATACAAAGTGAATGTAGCTTTTTATTGTAACCTATACAATTCTGATATCTCACCTGGGGAACTTTAATGAAAACTATATATTTGCACTCTTGGTTTCATCCTAGTACATTAGAAGAACACTGTTAACTGATACACACTGTTACGTACTGCCCTCATTCTAGCATCTTAAATAATTGTTTACATTATTGTTTACACAAAGTGTTCTATTAATCATGACTGTAGATTATAAAGAGAATAATCACAATAAATATTTATATTTGAGAAATTCTGTGACTGGTTGTTTATATAAGTATGTGTCTAGAGATCAGATATAATTTGATAGTCCTACATATGTAGCAACTAGTTGAATCAGTGTTTCCTCTAGGATTTTTCTCAGCAGCGGGGGGGACAGTGCTTAGCTTTACTAACCTCAGCTCCTCCGGTCACCTCCGTCCTTTCTTTTCCAAAACCACTTTTTCAGACTGAAAACTGAAAAATAATTTAATCAGTCTGTACAGGACAGAGCTGCAGGCTACGTCAGTTTAATCTAAGTTTATACCTGATGTTCGCAACATTGGACAAGTAGGCAGTAATAAAATACAGCTTCCAGTTACTTTCAATAAATTGAGCTACTGTTAAGTTACATAGCAGCCATGTAACTGCTGTAGAAGTTTTTCTGCTCAGCTGCGCAGTCTGAAGGGGAGGGAAGATGTTAGTTAACTTAGCGCTAACCGGCTTCACTTTTCCAGCAGGTGGGAAACGACAGACTTTTCTTGGTCTTGAGAAGCTGACACACTGTAACAGACACCTTACATTTACTGTCAGAATATTTTCCTCCATTCGCGTTCACCTTCACTTTTTGCCGTTCAGACAATCAAACACTCGCTACGCACCTCCTGATTCAGAGTTACGCTGCTCTTATAACACCATCTGTCACGTGTGTTCTGCTTAGAACGAGGAGAGGAAGCGAGCCGAGCATTGAGTGCTGCTGTGCTCGCGTCGTGATTCAGCAGCGGCGCACCGAATGCATGTTGAGGAAACACTGTTGAATGTTATATTGCTCCCAAATAAGATGCAGCCCTGTGACAAAAGTAGAATTTGTGCCACTTAAGTACACTATTAAAGCAAGGTTGATACTTCATTATTGATCTTGTGGCCCTGTCTTGAAATCTAGTTTTAAGACATTTATTTTAGTTTATACTGGGCTCACATGGGGCATATTTCCAATTCAAGTTTCATTTAATCACACTGACACAAAGAGACACAGAAAACCAAGGCTAGCTCTACCAATAGGAGTGCTGGTTGATTTCTGGGTAAATAATGAAGTCACCACTTACACTCAGTTGCCAGTTTATTATGTACATGTAGCTAAACTAATATTTTGTCAGACTCATTTATATCAATGAGTAAATAAAGACCAGATAATTAATGAGGTCAAGGATTGAGGGGCCTAACAGCTATTTATAACCCAGACCCCTCTGAAAGGTTAGTCCGCCCATGGCTAGACATTTCACCCATTTTGTGAACTTGTAATCAATAATATATAGTGGTATTTATACGGAGTGTTTAAATATCAGTTATGCCACTGTAAGGCATTGTTTGGATATTAGTTTTTGATTGTACAGGCTGTGAGTTGAATGTTGAACCGCATCAGTTCAGTTGTTTCGTCCAGACAGGAGGAGCTAATTACAGGGAGACTGCTCACCAAACAGCCCGTCAAATATGGCCAACCGAGCGCTTGGCTTTAAGACCCTCTGCACCAGGTAAGGCCTGAGGTTTCAAAGGTCACGAAATGACGACCAGGTGAACTCTTAACTCAGTTCAGCTTCGTGTCCAGTGTTGATAATGTTAACGTTTGCCTGGCAGAGGTTAATGCTAACAAGCTGAAGAGGCTAGCTGATGTTAGCTTCATCGTGGCTAACCGTTTTAAATGAAACCGGTGTTTCCGATACTTGTAACTTGTAGCTCTAAGCATGTGTTTAGCTAACTGACAACTATATTGTGCTTAAGTACGTCGAAGTTAAATCTGTAGATTTACGTGTGGTTAAAGTAGTTGAAAGTTTTGAGGTTTAACGTTTTGTTTACTTGTGTAACAGCCGGTCAAAGTTTAGAAATGTGCTTTACGTTACGGGAGGGTAAACGAGCTTCAGTGCTAAGTTACATCACCAATTAAAGCAGACTTACGGTGGACAAGAACTGCACATTGTTTTAATCAGCTCTCTGCACGGTAGGAACATGTCCTTGTAATGTTATTGGTCAATCGTGAGTTAAGAGATGACTCCACTACCTGTTTGCATCTGTTGCAACTTCTACTTTAATAAGAATTACTCTCTGTTAATGGTAAATACAGGTGGGTTTTTTTCACTTTGTTGGGGGTTTTTTGTCAGTGTTTCATACTTGTGGTCTTTCATGAGTGTTTTTTCCCCCGTTTAACCATTCAAACTGACATACAATACATGAAAATGCCATAAAAAGATATTGAGACACCTCTGAAAGCTGTGCGCAAATAACATAGATGGAGAAAAAGTGCATGCATTTTTAGCTTTATTTTCACTTGGAGTGAAAGGTAATCGGAAACTTAGCTGTATTAAAGTCATCCAGGGGATTGGGACTTATATTTTGATATTATTTTATCATCCCACTTGTATTAAAACTCAGATACCTTTTACAGGTTTGGTTTTGATGACCAACATGTTCCTCCGCATTGACCTAGATTTCATTTAAATTTTTAGTGAAGCCTGGCTTTCTTTCTGGAGGAGAGAGTAGAAACCTGAAAGAGTAGAAACCTGAGATAGTGTAATGGATAGAAAAGGAGGAGACTTGGTGAGATAGAGATCAGTTGTTCATGTGGGACAGAGGGCTGTAGGGACGTGGAGTTTATTATGGGCTGCATGAGAAGGAGAACAACATGATGGTTACAGCGTGTTCAGGACAGAAGAGGCGAAGAAAGGGTGAATAACAGAATTTCTTCATACAGGGTACAGAGAGGCTGTGTTGGGGTCTGTGCTGTAGGGCTGGGAAATAGGAGACGTGCATACTAGTGACAATGAAGACATTTGTTGGCCAAGAGTTTGACAACTTTATGTGTGCATGTTAAAAAGGATGTTAGTTGAGGAGTGTTAACTTGTTTAGACAGAGGGTCAGGGGAAAGAAGTATTTCTTGCCAGCCAGATGTGATATAAGATTGTGTGGTCCACTTCAGTAATACTACATATTTCTACGAACTGGTTTGTGTTACATCCTTATGTTTGAGAAAATAGTCGTTAAGGATAATATTGCTCTCACAGAGACAGACATTTTATTGACGCTGTTGTAACATTTATTTTGGGTTGCTAAATGGTGATGGTTTCTCTGTTTAATTACACAAGTGCTCTGCTGCTTCAGTTCCACCTAGACATTGCTTCAGCTTTGCCATAAATGTGTAAGATCCCGTTTATTTTGAAACTGTATTGTTATGTTATCCTGCTGAGATGGTTGTAATATTATGCTATAATTATACGTTTTAATCTCAGGCAGTTATTCAGAATTGTTAGAGAGGTGTAATTTTTCAGGAAAGCACTGCATGTGCTGATGTAGTAAACTTAAGCATTGTTGTTTTTTCTTTTACTGCTATTACAGAGAAGTGATGTTCTCAGAAATTATAATATTGGCCATTATTTCTTTACAATGATTTAAACAGGGAGAAACCACATTATGTGTGCATGTAGGTTGAAGGAGCTCAATCTATGACTGTAATAAAGCTTATTTACTCTACCCACTGGTTGCACTTGAAAATTATTAACAAATAATTCTCCCAGCAACTGAGAAAAACTATTTTGTTTCTAACATGATAAATCTTTCACTTTACCCATTGATCCATGCATCCCATGCATTTCACTTAATCCACATAGGAACATGGACATTATTTGAAAGAGGTGTTAAGCCTCCCATATCCTGACGCATCTTTCCACGTGATCAATGTAGTTAGTAGAGTGTCTAAACAACAGTCACACTCATTAAACATGTGGCGTTTTCTGGGTGAAATAGTGTTATTCTTAAATAATATGTAAGTGTATTCATTTTTAATGATGTTATTGGAAATATTCTTTTTCACGCGAGGTGGCACACATTTTCTATAAAACATTGACTCCTGTTCAAGTGAAAACATGAAAATCACTAAAAGAAACCAGGGTTGGCTTTTTTCCCTTAAGGCACTAGTGAAATGCAGTTTCAGTTTACAAACAAATATCTTTGCAACTCAGGAGGACAAAATAATTTGACAAAACATCAGAACAGTGCAAGGTCAATTATAGGCTTGTCGTGCCGAGGAAGTAGGACGTGCCAGCTACCTACTCCATATGCATATTAGTGGTTTTGCTTGAACAGCACAACAAAGCTCTGTTTTGAACAAAGAACAATAGGAACATGTTGTTCTCCTCCGCCCTGTTCATTCTTTCATCCTCCCCAGCTATTGTTTTTATGCAAACTTTATAAAGATCTTTTATGAGATTAACAATACAAAGCAGATACAAATAATCATTTGAATCTTGTCTACTGAAAACTATTCCAGGTCATTCTGTACAGTACCATGTAATGAACACTAACGTGACAATTTGACACATGATTTGAATAACTAAAGAAATCCTGTAATTATGCATACTGATTTTTGGTTATTTTAATGTCTTCTTTTCTTACAGTTTTTGCATTGGCACTCTTCTCTTATTGTCAGTTTTATTATAGACCACATCCTCCATCGTGCCTCTTTGCTGATGTGCCTCTCTATGCTCAATCCCAGGCTATAATGGTGATCACCTCCAGTCCAAGCCTGACAGTGAGGATGAAGACGATACTTCCATGACCTCCTTCGGTGTTGCTGTCCGAGGCCTCCCCCTGGCCTTGGCCTCCATGACTCAAGCTACCACATCAGACTCACGCTTCCACCCCAAATGGCGGGCGATCACTGTGGCGACCCTGCTGGCTTTAGTGCTCATGTTATACCTGCACCGGACAGTAGGAGACAGAGACACTGCAACTAGACCTTACCACCGCAACAGGGTTCACCCTCTGCAACTGTACAGTGAGGGTGATGATGATGTCTTAAGGGACACTAACAGACAAACTGCACAAAGCCTCCCCCGCTTCCAGAAAAGGGGAAAACCTTACAATTACACATATCCGTTAAGTCCACCGGAGAAGACAAAGCACGGGATCCGCTACCGTATTGGTGTGATTGCAGACCTGGACACAGCGTCGCGTAGCTCTAAGGATCAGACATGGTTCAGCTACATGAAAAGAGGTTACCTGACTGTTTCAGAAAGCGCTGACAGACTGGGGGTAGAGTGGGATGCTGAGACGGACACTCTGGAGAGTCATCTGGCTGAGAAAGGACGAGGTAGAGGGACACACACACACACACACACACACACACACAGATCTATTATTCTTTGCATATATCCATTATATTTGTGTTCTCACAAACTGTACTGCAGGTATGGAGCTATCTGAGCTGGTGGTGTTCAACGGTCACCTGTACAGTGTGGACGACCGTACGGGCGTGGTGTACAGGATCGAGGGCAACCAGGCTGTCCCCTGGGTTATATTACCCGATGGTGACGGCTCAGTCTCCAAAGGTCAGTCTCCAATAGACGTGTTGCCTCTATTCCTTGCATACATGTAGGTCCTTTTGAGCAACATTTCAACTATTCTAACTGGTTTAAAGTGAATATTTTGATTTCCTTCAACAGCACAACTTCGCACTGAAGTCTAAAACTATAAACTACAAAATGTAGTCCAAAGACTTAAATTGTGTCAGTGTATGTTGTCCACTATAGTTGGAAAATCAGTAGAAAACAATTGGCAACACAAAAACAAGTGTTTTAAAGCCCCCAACATACTTGCTTTTTAACAATGCGTAGGCCAACTGCATACCGCCACCACCTGGGCTTGTTTGTGGAACAGTAGATTGCGGCTGACATGCCGGTCAGATTGACATACTGCCCCCACGTTCATGTGGTGAATTTCATCTTGCAGACGCGTAGCATTAATTTCTGGAGACATGCACAACCTATACTCAGGATATGCCCGGCGGCCATCTTACAAACACATAGTTAAAAGCAAGTATGGCTTAAGAGGTTCACACGCCTTCTTACAAATCAGTCCTTGTTTTGTGTGAAGGATTCAAGGCAGAGTGGCTGGCAGTGAAAGATGAGCACCTGTATGTCGGCGGCCTGGGGAAGGAGTGGACCACGACCTCTGGGGTAGTCGTCAACAACAACCCAGAGTGGGTGAAAGTTGTTGGCTACCATGGTGACGTGGCGCATGAGAACTGGGTGCCGTACTACAACGCCCTGCGGGGCGCAACAGGGATCCAACCACCAGGTTCTGACAAATTGTTTTGGTTTCTTCTTTATTGTCCTGTCCAAACACACACAACAATGTCTGAATCGGTATCTGTATTATTGGCACCAAGGGTATAGTTTTGGTTTCAGGTCTTAGTGGTTATATAATCCAGAAAACAAACAAACATTGAATTAAATTTGTGTGTTGTGATTGCACTAACCATATTTAAAATCACATTTAGTTTCATTGTAAGATGTTGTATTTGCAGCTTTTGCTAAAAAAACAAAACAAAACTGTAAATCAAAAGAGGAGATGACAAGCACACTGCAGCACCAATCTCTACCAATAAGAGGGTAGTTATAGCTTGCACATAGTCTGGGAGGCAAAACCCAGGGCAGAAAAGGTTTCTGCAGGAAAACCTTTAGCCATGGTTTGGAATGAACTGAGCTGCTCTTATTTGGATTTTGACTAACTAATCCTGTAATAGCAGGGGGAAAAATAGGATTTAGAAAAGTGAAAATTACACCCATGATTGTCACTGACAATTATATACAGTCTCTGTAATTCATACACCTTCTATAACTGTTCTTGTTCTATAGGCTACCTCATACATGAGTCAGCAGCGTGGAGCGAGCGTCTCCAGCGCTGGTTCTTTCTCCCTCGCCGTGCCAGTCGCGAGCACTACGAAGAGACTGCAGACGAGCGACGTGCCACCAACCTCCTCCTGTCGTGCCCCGCAGATTTCAGCTCCGTAACAGTGCGGCACGTCGGACCGCTCAACCCAACCCACGGCTTCTCCTCGTTTAAATTTGTTCCAGACACAGACGATCAGATCATTCTGGCCCTGAAATCTGAAGAAGATGCAGGCAGGATTGCCACCTACATCATTGCATTTACTCTAGACGGTCGAGTGCTGATGCCCGAGACAAAGATAGGGGATGTAAAGTACGAAGGGCTGGAGTTTATTTGACAAGGACGGCGCTGAAGGTGCACACATTCCTGAAGGCAAAACATCAAAATCTATATACATGCAGCATTGTTGTTTTGAGTGCTAAATATTACATTCTCCTCTCAGTTTTACTGTGCAATAATGTCGTATGACCCAAAGTTATAAATATACATAATTATAGTTTATGATACTTGATGAGGTAAAAGGGTAGGAAATGCCATACCATCACTACCCGGGGAGGACAATGATGTGTCGCCCATGATTGACCATGTGCGACTGTTATGGTCAGCCAATCTGTGACCGGCGATCACCCATAAACTGTCACTAGTTAGTCACCACCTGATAAGATTTTAAACATTTTAAAGTCTTAACTAGTTTATATCTGTGCTGGTAGATTGATAGTTTTATCTAAGCCTTGAGATGAACATCGTGGTTTGATTAGACACTACTGATATTACAGAGGCGTAACAGCAAACACCAGGTAATGTGGCTCTCTTCTCCTGCAGCCAAACTCTGCTGGCCAGACTCTCAGGGGAACAAGGTGAAAAAAAGATCAGATATTTGCAAAAATAGAAATGAATGTCCTTGAATTACTTGAAATATTTAACATACTCATCGCTTTGTGTTTTATCAAATCTCTTACGACACAGTGAAGTCTCTTGATGCAGATCAACGTCTGCATCGTAAACTGCGTAAGCTTTTCTGAGCAGAGGCCTGTACTATGAAGGGAGTTTAACCTACTCAGACTTTACTCTGGGTTATCAAGGAAAGTCAGGGTTGACAAACTGACCGCCTAGATTGGTGTTAAAAGGCACTACGACAGTGAATTAAGATGTTGCTTAGTTGATTGGAGTTTGCATAAAGTGGAGTAAATTTGCTTGTAAATTTCATCTAGATTGAGTTTTTACTCAGATTATTATCCCCATCCCCTGGCTCTGTATTTTCTGGACATGTAAAAATCTAAATATGTGAAACATTTAGGATAATTCGGTTATACACATTGGCTACATCTCAGAAATGTGCCTGTTAATGAATTTGCCCTAAATGACAGTGTGCAGGACTACCTGTATGAATGCAATGATTGATTCTAACAGTCTATAAAGTACTATGTATTGATAGTTCTCATTAACACTGTTGTATAGCCCACACTTATAATAGCCTGTTCATGTATACAGGGTCACATGAAGGTAACGTGTTCTGAGCGGTTTAGAGGTGCGGCTTAAATTGCCATGACAGCATACCTTCTTACCCACCTTTCGTTGTACGGTTTAATTAGGAAGTTACACCTGACGTCACAAAGTTACTCCTGAAGTTACCTCGATAAGCCAGTTACCTCGCTTCGTACAGGCCTCAGGTCAATTGTTGGCTCACATATGTTGAACTGAATATCATTAGCTTCTCAAGCCAGAGAACAAGTGAAACACCAGCTATTTTATTTAATATTAATCATTATATTCCTTTTGTATCCTCAAATCACAAATAATTAAAATATCTACTATTACCTGAATGTTGTCGTATTCTTTAATGCAACAAATCAAACTTTAAACAGTTGTAGTCATAATGTTAACATATTTATTGTGCTGGGTTTAACAACAATTATCTAAAAATTTATATATTTTCAAATTTTTATGTCTATAAAATCAGTGTTACATTACACTTCACATGATGCAGTACTTTGTTCCACACATTTTATTAAGCATTTCTTGACTAATGTAGGAGGACATTGGCAAATGGTGATTATCACCAAATTACACAACTAATGATGTTAATTGATTAATAATGGCGGCGGTTTTTAGTTTGGCATGCTGTAAACTTTGCAGTTATTCTCACAGTTGTATGTCAAAACATTTCAAACCTGAGGGAAATCCCTGTGATTGATCTTGCTCACAGGCCTGTTCCCATGGCAATGATGTCTTGAGGTAGACCAGCCGTGTTTATTGGTTTAAAGGAGCCCAGTTTTGTGTAAAAGTCGAGCATCCTCCGATCGCTCTGCCTCAGCTCACAGAACGCTCCTCTGGAACCTTGAAAGTTATGGAAAAGGAAACAAAGACGGTGTTGGGAATCTAATCTTTATTCTCTATAGTCTTAAGAAAGGACGAATTATGTTACTGAGACAATGTCACGCAGCATCAGTGACTCAAAGCCAGACCCAAAACCAGACCCAGCCAGTGTTATTGCACAGCTTAGGTGCCTGCAGATTTATAACTGTGCTTGTACCATCGGCAACTGGATTTGTTTTTCTAATGACTGCTGTGTGTTTGAGGTTTTATATTTAAACCTGTAAGAGTTTATCAAACTAAAGCATATTTTCTGCTGAATACTGATAAGAGTTGAGGTCACACTGCTCTGTGTGCCATCGCATGTCTCCAGGACTGTCCTCCAGGTTACTTTAGAGAGGGAAAGACGACCTTCCTGGCTGTATTGTATTTGGGGGGAAAAAAGTAAGACCTACCACTGCTCCTAATGGAGGACAACAGCTGACCAATCATGCGCTTTGCTGGAGAGGGATCAGTGACCCTGGGCAGCACTTGCATGGTAACCAGGGAGGGGAAGTCCTCAAACATTGAGTCACCTACTGCCCTCTAGAGGTATGAGATCAAACAAAATAGTAATTTAACATTTTTTTCTTCACCTGGTATTCTGGAAAACGATTAGATATCGCATTTGATCACCTGAATCTTGGCTGCTGCTGGTTTGGCATCAGTTAGTGCCAGGGCGTAACCACACATCCCAGTGTCATCTTCCAGGACAAGAGCACAGTGAGGGGAAGGTGAGACTTCACCTGCTGACAGGCTGCAGTGGGGACAAGGGAAAGTTAAGACTGAGGTATGAAAGCATAAATGCTGCAGAGAGAAATTAGATTCTTTCTTACCCATCACAGATGCGTGGAGGCTGCGTCATCAGGGGCACTTTGCCCTCTCCTGCTCTCTGCATCTCCCTGAAAATCCTTTGCACCTCCATCTAGGACACAAAACATGTTACATCACTACTGACGTCGAACAAAAATGTATCAAGTGTCCAGAGGATCTCCCATGCTAACCTTGTCATCGGGGCAGTACGGCCGTATGCAGTAAACAGCCGTCGTGGGAGGATGTCTGAAGAGGTCCCTGTTTCCGTGACAGGGCAGCATTCTCTGCAAGTACAAATGTAAAGTATATTATTTGTATATTCATGTAGACTGACTCTGAAAAATGATTGAGATAACAATACCTTGTCCTATTAATCACAGCTATCACTGTACACATGGTGGAAAAACTGGCAGATTTAATCTAGAAAAATGATGTTTTAAAATGTGTCCCTGTCTTTATACACTGCAATGATGAAGTTACCTGGAACTCTCCAGAGAGGCCACCTCTGAAGCCCCAGGGCTCAGGATCATTGTTCATTAGCTGGGCTGAGGGCTGACCCTGCCCTCCTATGGGAAGCAAACACAGCATTTGAAGCTTAAGGATGGTTATGGATTAACATTTGTCATAAATGTGGTTACAGACAACCATTATGACAAGCATGAATCAGAGGCCGTATTACTCTGCATAAATTCACACGACCGATGACTCTGTTGTGTTACCCAGACACACTGCACGTGGCAAAGCCGCATGGCACCTCTGCAACTTAAAAACCTAAAAACGCTGGTAAGCATATCCACCATTGCCTTAATCGCAGGCGTTACTGCTTAATTTCATGACTGCTATAGCAGTGGAGATCCTGCCCTTACAATCTCATGAATTTCTTCCCGACTACAATTTCTGCCTTCATTATATATTGTAATGAATTCTGTAATACCTCCATGATTTTTGTAGTCGCAGGATTGAGAGTTGTTGCAGGAATTGTTCTCTACATGTTCTAATGGGACTCATTTCATAAAAAAAAAAATGGCTTTAGGGTAAGAGCTTATTATGTTTGAATGGATCATTACTTTGCACATTTACATATTTCTCTTAGATGTCTCCTGTAATCAGACATGTTGGGGTAATCAATTCATCAGCGTGACAGCCTTCTTCTGCATTGTGACGTGCTGGAAGAAGGAACAAATTAATTGTTGAGTGATGAAAATACACAGACGCCTGGTGTGATTGGTTTCTTTGCAGTTATTTTTTTCCCAGCTTGGGTACAAATTCTCTGATTTTACTTTTCTTTCACGCTGCTCCCTATTGAAAATTAACAGACACCACCGAGTCCTGTTTGTCTTCAGCCTTAATCACTCGCAAGTAGCAGATGCAGCAGAAACAAGAGGTATTTTTCTCCTTTAACATGCCTACAACAGCTTTACTCCCCAACATGTTCCTTTCACACCAGCCTGTGTTGTTCGACCATCATTACAAGAGTTTTCCCACCTAGTGTTTTCACATAGGCTCGAGCCAGACCGACCCCACTCTTAATGTCACAGATGTAGTTGTAGAGGTCGTACAGAATGCTGCGGTTTGGGGCATTTGAGAGACGATTGAACATCTGCACCACGGCCTCGCACATGTCATCGAACTGCTGCGCTCTGGAGCACCACTCTGCTGTCTGAAAAACAGTGCCTAAGCATAAATGTACTGGATAAAGAACATTATTCACAACGTTATTCGCTTTTTAAATAGCAGAAACACGCAACACTACCTTGTCCGTCTGTTCAGTGGCGGCCGGACTGTGGTTCCTGAGCCAGTCCAGCTCCTGCAGCATGGTCCTGGCTGTCGGCCCGTATTCGTACGGTAGGTAGAAGAGTTCGGACAGCAGCTTCAGGTCATCCAGGGTCAGGGGCTCTGCTGTGTACAGCCGGTTCTCCCCAGGTCCAGGAACATAGGCGCTCTCTCCCATATCAGTCTGCATGGGCTCCTCATCTGACGCCTCTTTCCTGAGACGAGCTGGAGAACGACAAGGTCCAGGAACGATGATTTACTGTACATGATACCCACCCCATCTCTGCCTTTTCATATCATTAAACTGTTTGCTGTTCTTTCGGAACTCTACCTCCAGGTTGGTCGGTGCTCATAAACTCCTGCAGCCAGTCAGTGAGGGCCATGATCAGGGCTCTTTGGGGGCTGTAGCAGGGGTCCTGCTCCTCATCACCTATGATGGAGGTCAGAGACAATGAGACAACCCAGTGTTTCCACCAATGTCACATATTTCTGACTCCATTTGATGTAAATGGGAAACCTTAGAAAATGTTATCCTGAGTTGGAACACTGATGAAATGTGGGAACAAGCAGATATAACATTTTGTGACAGGGGTGCACAGCCATCTCTATTCTTCAGGTTGGACCCCCAAACATACATCTTGAAATACCATTGTAACATCAATCTATATCTATATAATCCTGTTCTGTTGGTGCATTTAAGTGGTTTTGGGAGGAGGAAAATGCACTCTAAGAGCCTATGTTGTGCTTTGGAAAAAAAAAACATGGAAGTAGAAATTGCTATATTGTAAAAGCAAATAGTCTGCATATTTTCCAAAGCAGCTGGATACAATCAAAGGCAGCACAGAGTCTTTAAAGACACTCACCCATTTCCACATCCCTCTGTCCTCCTTCAGTGGTTGCTTTACACCATGTTGCCAAGGTGTGGATAGCCACAAAGTTTGGGTAAAACTCACAGTTGGGGTTGGTGAGCACTCCTCTCAGTTTGGGAATCAGCTCGGTGGGACGATCCTAATAGAAGATAATGTTAATTATTTCTGGAGACAGATCCCTGGGGTCAGACAGGAGCACACGTTACAATACCATCTTGTACCTTAAAGGGTCCGAGGAAAAGCCTTTGGGGGTCATAGTCGTTGGCGTGGATATTGTCCCAGATGACTGGTGCCCTCTTCAGGACGGAGGACACCTCTTCTATGGACTCAACAGATATTTTGTGGGATACCACTTTGGGACCTAAATGAATTAGAGAGACAGAGAAATGTGTTATGAAACTGCACTCTGTAGGGTTTTAACACATCAGCGCAGGTACCGTGAGATGCTAGTTCAGTGCAGCCTCACCAGTCCACAGTATGTCGATCCCAGGCAGCAGCTTCTCACCCACAGTGTGCAGGTAAGAGGACTGGGACACACTGGGAGTACAGAATGCAGCACAGTAATCTGGAGTTACAGGGACAGAACGAGTTACAAAAGAAGGAGAAAAAAAGCTTATTATGTAAAATAGATGTATTACACAGTGTATACAGTGCTGTGAAAATGTTTGCCCCTTCCTGATTTATTTTTTTGCATGTTTGTCACAAAAGTAAACACAAAATGCAGTTTTTAAATGAAGGTTTTTATTGTTAAATATTTTTGGAAAATCCAAAAAAATAACAAATCAGGAAGGGGGCAAACAGTTACTACTGCCTGACCTGTAGGACAGAAGAGGAAGGTCTCAGGCTCTCCCAGGTGCTGGTACACTGCGTTAGTAATGGCCACCTGAGCGTGGGCGAAGGAGCTGAAGGCCTGCTTATCGGCTGGACACATCTCAGTCTCGATGTCGTCAAACAATAAAGAGAAAGACCGGCAGCCAAATGACCTCACCTGAGGCAGAAATAGGACAGCTTGAGATTTGGAGGTCTTACAATTAATTAGTTTTTCCTCGTTTCCGACCAAGTAAATTTCATTTTCGGATGATAAAATTAAACTTGGAAATGTTGCTCACTTTAAGTGTGTTACACTGTGTATATACAGAGTGTAACACATACTGTACATGCCGTACAGTGAGCATCCTCCCAAGGGTTATTCCACCAGGAATTAAACTCAGTACCTGCAGCAGTGTCAGTGCCATCAGGTGCCCATTGACCTACTTGCAGTTTATCAAATGCTTTTATTTTACTGCTGCATGTTTTAAATAAAAAAAAATGTGGTGTCCAAAACAACCCCTCAGAGAGCCATAAAGCTACATACTGCGGAGATTAAATTATCTCTCCATTCTCCACCCTTCATCTTGGCATACAAAGTCCTACCTGATCCAGTTTCCTCTTCAGGGCAGCAACCTCTTTGGGGTTGGAAAAAGTAACGTCCAAGCCAGGAGAGATTGCATAGATGAACTCTACGTCGTGCTGTTGAGCTGCTGATATCAGGGCAATGAGTTGTTCTGGGGAAAGAGTAAGAGATGAGAAAAGAAATCTTATAAAAATAAAACTGTTCTCCCAGGCACAGAAAGATCTTCAGTAAATGCTGTCTAATGGGAAGGAAATGACGCACAAGTTCCCAGTTTGGATTGTTGGTTAACCAACAGCTCTCAACAATCATGGATCCACATGCTTTTCCAATGCCTAGATGCTCAAGTAGTGTCTATGATCATGAAAACGCCAGGAAAAATCCCAGTCAGCCCTGTTTGTTCTCGTTCACGTTCCAACATCACTATGCAAATGTACAAATATAATAATGTGTGACGACCCAAAGTCCACTGATAGTGTCTGTTCTGGTATACGCTTGGAGACGTGATAGCTTTAACAGGTCAAGCTTCACATCATCCCTGCCCCTACGTATGTAACTTTATTGATAAGATGCATCCACCTAACAAAAGGAGAGGCTCCAAACTGAGCCTCTTTAAGGAGATAACGATGACTCAGGATGGGACTTTGATATGACACAGATGCAAAATGAGAAATAACTACAGTTTAACAGCGACAGCTTGTGTTTCTAAGTGGTTTGATGCCAACATGTAATCCTTCTTGCAGGAAGTTTAGTGACTACATTGTGTTTTACGTTCATGTGAGTGAATATAGGGGACTAATCAAAGAGAAAATGTGATCTCCGTTTTGGGTTCTTTGACAATTACAGATGCATTATTCTGCTCAGAGGCTGCACATTTGTGGTTCTTGGCAGGTCTCAGGCCACCCTCCAGTTCCAAGAGACAGCGAGCTTTGCGACCTGATGATGAAAAAGGACAACATGTGAAGAGGTGAAACTCACCGGCCTCCTCGGCAGAGTACAAGTCCCTCCAGTACATCCTGTGTTTGTAGTCATCCTTGGGGGCGTAGAGGTACGTGTTCAAACCCCACTTCTGTTCTCTGTGAAACATCAGCAGTGTACATGATGAATACAGTTCTGTGTTTAAAAAAATGCAAATGAAACTAGGCACTGGGAGACATCTGATGCCAATATCATGTAGACAAATACATTAATGTTTGTTATATATTGGGTGTTCAGTGCTGTTAAGCTTATTCCCTGAATTAAAGGTGGACATAAAATAAACATCAGCAGCGGACACCCATTTGCCCATTTTTTTTGGGACAGGCTCCGTTTTCATGTGACTTTTAAGCTCCCTAAGAGGCCACATACCTTTTAAACAGATCTGTTCTTTGCTCCATAGTCCATGGCCGCCCATAAAAACCTGCATTAAGCAAAGGTCAAGTTATGCACCAAATGATATCACCTGACCAGAAGTGATCAATGCATGATTGATATCCTCAAAATATATCTGCAGTTCATAGCAGTCTCATTTGGATGTCTGCTGACTGAAGAGCTGTTAACCTGATGATACACAGAGCAACTTTTAGAGCAATAGTGCTGGGTAATGTTGCTGTCAATGGTAATGAGAAAAGATTACTACCGTAATCCCCTTCCAGCACCACCGCTATCCGTTCAAAACATAATCGGACTTGCCAATAGCAAGATTGCCCAGCAACACTGCTCAAGATGCCCCGTGTATCATCAGCTTTACGTTATATCAACATGATGTATGATGATATCATGATAACACTGGCTTCCCAGTCTGCTCACCTTCCACTACTCCACTGATGAACCGCCTCGCCCCACTCTGGGACGGCCCCCCGTCAGTGCCCGGTTTTGACATGGTTCACTGTTAAATTGAGTTGTCGTTCCTAACGTTACCTCAGTCTCTGCTTTCAGTTTACTAATGCTCAGGAAGACGCTCCAGCACTGACACTGCGCTATTATCAGTCATGACTCTGTGTGCCACTCTCTTTTACTGCACCGTCCTCTCACGCCTGCGCAGAGCACGTTTCAAGTGTAAAGTCTAAAGTTGTAAATACTCGGGGAGAATAAGGAAACCACCTCTTGTTTTGTTATGACTGGAGTTAACCTCAGAGTCGCACTCGCGCATGATGACAGAGCGCGTCTCACTACCGGGTGAACGTCTTAAAGGGACAGTATCCCTTTGTCTTAAAGAGACAGTGTCCCACCGTTCGCCTAAAACAGGAAGGTGCAGTCTAAATAACACAAACACTTTGCATTTCGTAGCTGAGTAAATGTATTTTTTAACTACCAGCCAGCTATTTTGTAGTGTTGGTTAAGCTGAAATGTTAATGTAGATGATGGTGTACTTTTTACACTTTCCATATAACACATGTCCCAGTTATTTCAGAGAATTGTTCCTTTTGTCAGTATTTGTGACTATACTGTGTAATAGACACATAAAACGATCATTTGTATCTGCAGTTCAATCACCTGGTAAAAATAAATAAGTAAATCCCTTATTGAAAAATCCTAAATCTATGAATATACAAATATTGATTTCAAAAGTTATATTACTAGACACAGGATGTTGATGCTCCATACTTCACTGTAAAGTCCATTCTCGGTGAACGTGAGGTGGAGTTTAATCTGATCACACCCCTAATCACTTCTATCGCGGTTTGTAATTGCTAAAATCACAATTACATGGTCAAGTGACACAATGACGACCTCCAGCAAAGTATATGGAGTTCTTGGGAATGTGAGAGGATGCGAGTGCATCTGGACATTTTAATACAGCATTGCAGGAAAGGCACAGGTGTAATTAATAACATTAAAGATTGCTCTGTTTCATGACAGCCATGACAATGAGCCACTGGGGAAACAATAGGGGCCTGGTAATGTAGCACTTAATTGGAGTACATTTATAATTACTGTTATTAGTTACACCTGTGTTTTGACAATGAATTATGTCCACAATGATAAAGGTCTACTGAAAGAGCAGAGAAGGTAAAGTCCATAACCTTGACATACATCAGCCCATAACAAGTTATCCGAGAAAGTTACATATGATGAAATGTTGAATCCCCATTTGATGTCACTGCTTCAATTCTTTGATAGGGCTGTCTTCAAGCCTCCAAACGCACATGATGTGGTGAGCGTTAAGTTGCTGATTCCATAAGGGATGGGAATATAAGAGCGAGACAATTTTTATTTTAAAAAGTGTGCAAGATTGGAGTTGAGATTAGGGGCCTGCAGAACAAACAGGTGGGATGTTATGAGATTCTTTCTCAGCAAAACCACAGAAACACGTGGAAACCGACAAGATGCAGGGTCAGTGTGAGGAAAAACATGGCTAGAGGTGGTGAGATTTAGACCGACAGACTTGTACTGTGGCAGCGAACAGTTTAACCTGTCACATATAGATGTAACGATTAACATACGTATGGTTCTTTTGGTTTAAATAAACCATAAACTCAAGTTGACATTTCACCAGGAAACACACTCGTCAACCAGAAACAGCTTTTATTTTTATACACAAATATAAAAAACTTTATCAGTGTTATGGAATGCAAAATTAATCTTTAGTGGGTTCCACTAACAACATATTATCAAATGAACAGTGCTACATATTCGTACATATTAACTCTACACATCAGAAACAACATGCATATTACGAGTCAAAACATGAAAGAAAAAAAAAACAAACATGGAAAGTCGTTACATAAGTGCGAGCATAAGGCTCTGAGGTTCATGAAAAAAGCGCTCGTTTCATCTGTGCCACATGCAGCTTGGTGTTCTTGTCCTCCCACACAGCTCTGCTACCTCTTCAATCCTCTCTGGGCCTGTTTCAGCAACGAATCAAAGTCGAGGTCCTCAATCTTGCTCTTGGCAGGAGACGGGTCTGCATCTGCATCTCTGTTTGCATCTGAGGGACATTTACAGGCTCATTGTTAACGCTCAATGACTTCCTGGGTGTACAAAGTAATGGGCACAGTCGCCCTGCAGTAAACACTCTGAAGCGTACAACGTCCACATCCACTAAAAGGACAGAAGCATTGCTTTCTGTCTGACTTATAAATCATCAGAGGCAGGTAGAGGTGTCAGAAACAGCAGCTAATAAACACCAGATGATTACGCATATGCATCATTTAGGCTGATGATGTTTCCTAACAACTCAACCTGTTTTTATGGAGTGACTCGTCTCTTATGTTTTATAATGCTCACTTTACACCGGCACTGTCAGAAAGGTGTTGATTCATCATTGCAACACTAAGCAAGTTTCCTTACACCTGTTTTGTGCAAATTTTCAATCAGCACATAAAACAACCCATTCATTCACAAAATATTTGCCAATTTTCTTGTAATTTGTTTACAATTTGCCCAACATTTGGCTGGAAACTTGACTAATGGTTGAATCAGTTAATTCACATTCTACAAGGAATATTTTATTTTGGTTTCTATGGTGCAGCTTGCAAAAACAACAGTGCTTGGAAACAAGGCTTTGACAGGGTAAATGTTTACCTTCACTATACTGTCTATGACTATGTTGTTGTGAGTCTCACCTAGGTCAGCGTAGTGAGAATTACAGAACTGTCTTCTTCCACCAAAGCAGATGTCAAACGGCAACTCATCAGGCTTCCGCAGTTTGCCGCCATTATCGATGGCTGCAAAAGCATCTTTCATGTTGTAGAATGTGACAAAGCCGTAGTGGTCGCTATGGCAAGCAAAGAGACAGAATTTTAATGCTGATAAACACAGATTAATGGTCCAAAACTTTCAAGCATAATTTTAACTGTGCATACTCACCCTCTATCTCTAAAGTGAAGCGACACACATTCTACTTCTCCGAATTGAGTGAAGCGTTCCCTCAGTTCATCATGTGTCATAGACCTGCAGATGCGGCCAACATACACCACCCTGCGTTCTTCCTATATGACAGGAATTTTGTTATTACTCACCACTCACTATTAAACAAAGAAAGAATAAACACTGACAGTAATCCTTTACTCACTATGGCTTTAAGTTTCTGAATCCTCATCTCATGCTCTTTCTTGAGCTTCCTGGACTCTCTGCTGTAGGGATGAGGAGTTGAGATGAGAGGAAGACAGAGACTGAGATTAGACTCGTAAACGCGGTAAAGCCAGGGCGAGAGGCAGAGATAAATGGTATTTTAAAGGAACACCAACATTTGATTTTCCTTTTATCAGACATCTACATGGTAAACTGCAACATTAACTGACCTGTAAACATCTCTCCACTGCCTACGGCAAACCCGCGGGGAAGGCGATCGGGATCTGGATGGGGATCTAGACTGGGACCAAGATCTGGATCTGGATCTGCTGCATCTCGACCTAGAGTAAGACCATCTGTAGCGGCGAGGTGGAGAGCGAGAAACGGAGCGTGAAGACGGCGAACATGAACTGCTCTCTGAACGCTTATGCCGGTGCCTGCAAAAAAATAATTAGTATGTGATGTGCACAAAGAGGACAAATAAAGACTCATACTGAACATGAACAACAGAAGATGATTACTTTTGTCTTTTTGGAGAGGGAGATGCAGAGCTGGAGGAGGACGACGAGGAACGAGAGCTGCAGCTGGAGTCGGAACGGGAAGATCTCCTCCCATATCTCATTTTCTCCCTCCTTCTGTCAAGAGGGCTGGGTGGGGGTGTAGGGAGAGTGCACTGGGCTGTCTGGTCTTCAGCTGCACCACAGTCTTGGTCTGCAGCAGCACTGTCCGAAGGCAACAGGACTTTGTCTGTGGATGATTTTGTGTCTGATCTGGACATTGGTTGCTCAGAGAGATGCTGCATCACAGCCTTTTCAGAGTTAATAACAGCCATGATGGCGGTGCTAACGGTTGCATTCTGTTTGTTGCATTCAGCAGCAGTTGAGTTATGAGTGGTCACCTCTTCATCAGCGCCTTTAGAAACATCCTTCAGTTTAGTGGCTCTGCTACGCTGAGTACGGTATACAGGCTCGCAGTAATCGTGATCAGAGGATACAGAAGAATAAATGTGTGCAGAGGTGTGAGCCGCGGGGAACTCTGAGAGGTTTGTGTGTGTCTTCTTGGACGGTAGAGGACGGGGGTCGATTATCTGAATGGCCTTGGATAGAGGATTTCTGCGTCTTGCTGGCAGATTGTGTTGAGTGCTGAGGATGACGTCAGTGCCGAGGGGCTCTGGGATGTTCAACATCTGAAGATGTGGTAAATTCCTGAGGGTTTTTGGAGAGCCAGGTGATTCTGAAGTGCTTAAAGCTTTAAGTGGCCCCACAGGGGGTGTCAGTACTAATCTGGATGCTCTTTCTGTTCCTACAGGCTGAGTTCTGTCCAAGTGTCCATCTGATGGTGGGTTAGAAGCACTAACAGGTTCAGGCTCACACACACTCTCCTCTTTAGCTGGAGGAGGAAGAATCAAATAGGTTACACAAGACCAAGAAATCCAACAATACAGTGTCATCAGTAATCTGGTCACTCACCTTGTGTTTCCTCAAACTGCTGCAGCAGGCTGGTCAGATCAGGCGCTTCAATTCCTTAGGTAGAAGAACAAACAGACATGTAAAGATTACTTTAGAAGATGCTGTTGATTTCTCCCATTCTTCATCATCATTGTAAACTCAATTAAATAAATGTAGCTTCAGTGCCTTCACTGCGTCAGGTTTAAAAGCCCATATCGCAACAGTTTACCTGAGTCAGGTGTTGCACTCTGCACGCTACAGCCCAACTGAAGAATGGGTGATGGTTCCTCAGGCGGGGGTTTACCGGGAGGAGCCTCTATGTGTGACACTGTATCTGGACTTGGTGACAGAGGAGTCTTTGGTTCCAGCGTGGTTTCTTTCGTCAAGTTCAGGCTGCGTTTTTGAGGTTGTAGTTTCTCGCTCCTTGAGGAAGATTCGGTTGTGGTTGCGCACAGTGCTGGAGATCTTGAGGAGATACCTGAATCTATCTCAGTAAACTTGTTTTTCATTTCCTGAAACAGGGGAGTGCAGTCCTGGTTTAGTAACGACACCTCTGACTTTGGCCATGAGGAGGATGACTGCTGTTGTGATTCAGATGTGCCTGAGGAGTCATTTTGGATTTCTTCTAAGTGCCTGGTGCCGTCAAGTTTGGAGTCTCTGCTGTTGAGGAACTCCACTTTGGACTCTGATGAGGAGAGGT